TCGCTAACCAGCTGACCAGTGACTACGGCCGTCTGGCCTCACAGGCCAAGCCTGCAGCTGTGGCTGCTGAAAATGAAGAGGTAAACATGGAGGCAGCTCTGACCTTTCCCCTGCCCCTCAGAGAGAGTTCCAGTGGCATGCCCCTTGTCCCCATGATGTCAGCCTCTGAGGCTGTCCCACCCTCACTCCCTCTAGTCTTTCATAGAAAGGGAAACACATCCTCAGGGCTCTGTGTAGGGACGGGATCAAAGCCTTCAGTCACAGGGATAAAGGAGACAGCCCAGGATCTAGAGATTTCCCGCCTGCTGCTGTGGCCTCTGCCAGCCTTCCTCTGGGCCTCTGGCTGCTTCTCTGCCATGCCGCAAGTCTATCTTCCCTTCTTAGTTCTTCTTTCTTGCAAATCCGTGAAGCTCTTCCTTCCCTAAGCTCCTGGCTTTCCAAGAAAGCAAGTAATTGGATCTTAGCATGACAAACCTAATCCCCAACTCCAAACCCCTCCACAACCCTTAGGCCAAATGGTAATCCGTGGCCCTCTGACTCAAATACCCCAGCATAAAGTGCTTCTCCCCTCCTCCCCACTATGCTTAACACAGTCCTCACCAGCTGGTGCGCACATGCTGTTACTCTCCATGTTAGGTGACCTCCTGCCTCCAGACTAGGAAACAGGAGGAGTCTACATGCTGGGCACTTCTTCTCACAGCCCCTTTAGTCTGAGATGTGTGTTTCTTTAGGTCCTTAGTGACTCCTCCACGCACAATGGAGGTACCCTGAGTGCCTCTTGTAAAATCCGTCTCCCTATTCCGTCTGCTCACAGATCGGTGCCCACATCAAGCACCGGGTACAGGAGCTGGGGCACGGCTGTGCTGCCCTGGTTACTAAGGCGGGTGCCCTGCAGTGCAGCCCCAGTGACACCTACACCAAGAAGGAGCTCATAGAGTGTGCCCGGAGAGTCTCCGAAAAGGTGACTATGCTTGTCCGTATGGATGGGGGACTAGCTCCCCACCCTGCCGTCTTTCCCATCCTCCTGCACCCTTCCCAGCCCTCTCCTCTGTCCTTTGTCCCAGCCACCAGTGACCTTTCCCTTTCACATGGCACCTGCCACAGTCACCATGTGACTCTCCTCCCCCCAGGTCTCCCACGTGTTGGCTGCGCTGCAAGCTGGGAATCGTGGCACCCAGGCCTGCATCACGGCAGCCAGTGCTGTGTCCGGCATCATTGCCGACCTTGACACCACCATCATGTTTGCCACTGCCGGCACACTCAATCGCGAGGGTGCTGAAACTTTTGCTGACCACCGGTGAGGAGGGAACTGGGCCTCAGGGAGGCAGGGTGGGTGTGGGACCAGAAGAGGCTGGAAGGGCTGAGGGAGGCCCGAGAATAGCTGACCGGACTGGGGCCTCCCTCAGGGAGGGCATTCTGAAGACTGCAAAGGTTCTGGTGGAGGACACCAAGGTCCTGGTGCAGAATGCAGCTGGGAGCCAGGAGAAGTTGGCACAGGCTGCCCAGTCCTCCGTGGCCACCATCACCCGCCTTGCTGATGTGGTCAAGCTGGGTGCAGCCAGCCTGGGAGCCGAGGACCCTGAGACGCAGGTATCTACCTAACACCTCTAATTCTGGCCGGAACCACTTCCTAGTCCCCTTTTCCCTCCCACAGACCAGAGTCTCTGCTCTCCTATACAGGTGGTGCTGATCAATGCAGTGAAAGATGTGGCCAAGGCCCTGGGAGACCTCATCAGTGCAACAAAGGCTGCAGCTGGCAAAGCTGGAGATGACCCTGCTGTGTGGCAGCTTAAGAACTCTGCCAAGGTTGGAGGGAATGAGAGCAACATCAGGAGAGAGAGTGGATCAATGTGCTTCCACCTCTTCCTTAAAATGATCTTCTCCCCTACTCTGACCCTCCTAGGTGATGGTGACCAATGTGACATCATTGCTCAAGACTGTGAAAGCTGTGGAAGATGAGGCCACCAAAGGCACACGGGCCCTGGAGGCAACAACAGAACACATACGTCAGGAACTGGCGGTAAGCACAAGTCTAGGGCACGGGACTTGAGTCAGAGAGAGGCTTCGTGATTGATCGTGAACCTGTGCCACACACATTCCTCTCGCTCACTGCCACACTTCTTAAGTGAGCCACTCTGGTGTCTTGCCCCTCCTCACCTCTTCACTCTGTAGCACTTGCCAACCACCTTCTTTCATCCTCCCACTTTCTCCAGTCACCAGTGGCCTCTAAGTTGCCACATTCAGTGGCCTCTCCTTGGCCTTCATCCTCTTCAAACATTTCCAAAGCATTTGAGTCTGTTAACACGCCTCCCTTTGAAACTCTTTCTTCCTCTGGCCTTCTTGACACTGGCTTTTCTCTCACCTCTCTAGCATCTCTTTGTAGTCATCTTTGAATCACCTTCACCCTAGTAAACAGAGGGGCCTTCCCACAATTGTATAAACCGCCTGCTTTCTCTGTCCTCTTCTTTGGCAAGTTTAACTGCATTCGTTATCGTTCTCTAACAAGTTGACTGCCAATTCTGAGTTTAGTTATTTTCAACTGCCTGGTTGACATCACCACCCAGATGCCGTGCCTCCCAGCCAGCCCTTCTTCCTGACGTACTACTTCCTATTACTGGTGGTAACAACCTCCCAGTCATGAAGAGTCCTCCATGGTCATCACTGACTTCACTGTCTTTCTAACTCACCATATCCAGGCCATTGCCAAGTCCTTCCAACTACCCTACTCCATTCTCTTTCCTTTCATCCCCCATCCCTGGGCCCACTGTCAGCACTCACTCTCCCTCACTTTGACTGCTGTACCAGTTTTCTACCTGGCCTCCCTGCCTCCAGTCTCTGTCACTCTCATCTCTCCTACTCATCTTTCTGATTTCTTCCCCTTTTTTAACTTTATTTTTTTAATTAATTTATTTTTTTTGAGGAAGATTAGCCCTGAGCTAACATCTGCCAATCCTTCTCTTTTTGCTGAGGAAGACTGGCCCTGAACTAACATCCATGCCCATCTTCCTCTGCTTTATATGTGGGACGTCTACCACAGCATGGCTTGCCAAGCGGTGCCATGTCCACACCCGGGATCCAAACTGGTGAACCTTAGGCCGCCAAAGCAGAACGTGCACACTTAACCGCTGCACCACTGGGCCGGGCCCTCTGATTTCTGAATTCATCTTTCTGATGTTCTGTTTTCACCTCTACTTGGAGATGTCCAAATTGTAACTCTTAACTTTCTGCCTCCCAAACCTGATCATTCCGTCGTCTTTCCCATTTCAGTAAATAGCACCTTTTAGTAAATTCCTAAAGCTAGAAACCCAGCTTTGACATCTTTCTCTCATTCCCACATCTAAGCCCAGCATCAAGTCTTGTTGGTGCTCCCTCCAAATGACCTCATTTTCTCTTCCCCGTCTCTATCACCAGGACCTTGTCCAAACCACCCTCAGCCCTTACCTGTAGTCATGTGATGGCCTCCATCTGACCTCCCAGCCTCCGCACTCACCTCCAGTCTATTCTCTCTGCACAGCAACCAGAAGGATCTTTAAAACATCAATCAGATGATGTCACATCACTGCTTAAGACCCTTTAGTGACTACTCTGGCATGATCTAACCTCACCCATCGCCTTCTGGGCCCCATAGCCCCTGCTGACCTCATCTTCCCCTGCTGTTCTCCTTTTCTGTGCCCCGTCCCACTGCACTGTCAGTTCTTGCCCACTGCAGGCCTTGCACTTACTTCTCTCCAGCTGTTTGAACATCTGGCTGCTTCTAATCCTTCAGGCTTCAGCTTAAATGTGTCCTCCTCAGAGTGGCCTTCCCTGTCCTATCTGAAAAAGGACCTCGTTTTTATTTCTCATCACAGCACCCTCTTTATTTCCTTCACAGTCCGGATCATAGTCTTTAGTTTTTCTGTTGGTTTACCTATTCATGATCTGTATCCAAAACTAGAACGTAGGGTCCAGAGAACAAGGACCTTGTCTACCTTCTTCCCCACTGCACCCTTAGCGCCTCGCACAGGATCTACCACACCAGCTGATCTTTAATAATTTGTTGGATGAACACATACATCAAATATTTTTATGACTTTTACATATGTAAAATTCTAAGTTCCTTGGTCTGATACTCAAACCCCCAACAACCTTTTTCCACCATCCCTGTATTCTAGAACATTCCTGATACTCTCCCACTTGACATCTGATTATTCATGCCCAATCTTTAATTTTAAACAAATAAATTCTCCTCAATGACTTCAGTCAGAAATGATGACCAGCTGCCCTCTGTTCTATTAGCTGTGAATGTGTGAATTTTTCCAAGGACCCGACTTACAGTAAGTACTCAGGGAATGCTTGTTGAATGAACACATGGATGAATGAACCAAATTACACGAGTGTTACGTTGTCTTACAGTCTCATTCACTGTAAAATTTTTCTTCTTATTCTGCCCCAACAGGTCTTCTGTTCCCCAGAGCCACCTGCCAAGACCTCCACCCCAGAAGATTTCATCCGAATGACCAAGGGTATCACCATGGCAACAGCCAAGGCTGTTGCCGCGGGCAACTCTTGTCGCCAGGAGGATGTCATTGCCACAGCCAATCTGAGCCGCCGTGCTATCGCAGATATGCTTCGGGCTTGCAAGGTAGAAATTGTGAGAGTGAGGCAGCAGTCTGAGGCAGTGAGGCAAAGAACATGGTGGGAGAGAACCTGCAGGGGCTCGAGGGGCCTGGCGCTCTGTGGGATCCTACAGCTAAGATACTACTCTATGGTGTAGGAAGCAGCTTACCACCCAGAAGTAGCCCCAGATGTGCGGCTTCGAGCCCTGCACTATGGTCGTGAATGTGCCAACGGCTACCTGGAACTGCTGGACCATGTGCTACTGGTGAGGCGGGAGTTGTCTGCCCCTCGCACTAGCCTCCCTGAGTACACCCTCCTATTCCCACAAGCCTCGAACCCAGCTCTCCAATTTTGTGTTCAAATCTCCTCCGCACCCCACCATCTATCCCCCAAATCTGTTCTTGTTTCCAAGCCTCCCTTCCACTGGGGCCCCACCATTCTTATATCCTTGGTTCTCCCACTCACCTCTTCCTCTTTTTCTTATCTCCTCTCTTCCCACTTGATCTCTCCTTCTCTACCTTCGTCATCTCTTCTTTCTTCTCATGTCATCATTCTCCTTGCTCCTTGTCAGCCGGTGAGTGACGTACAGCCCCACTGTCTTCACCACGCGTGCCTCTGATGCCCAAGTGCACCTGCTTGGGCAGTGTGCTGTTGGAGGGCTGTGGTGTGGCGTGCTCTAGGGATGGGTCGGGGGCCCTGGTCTGCCCTGTTTCAAAGGTCAAGGTAGAGGCTAAGATCTGATGCTCTCTGCTTCCGCCCACCTTCTCCCCAGACCCTGCAGAAGCCAAGCCCAGAACTGAAGCAGCAGTTGACGGGACACTCAAAGCGCGTGGCTGGTTCAGTCACTGAGCTCATCCAGGCTGCTGAGGCCATGAAGGGTGAGGGGCGATGAGGGGCAGGGAGGGAAGGGAAACTCCTGTTACAGTGAGATCTTCTCAACTTCCCGGTTGTCTGCTCTGAGCTAGCCCCCGCCCATAGTCCCCACAGGTGCTGGGGCCTGCTGATACTAACCATGCCACCCAGGGCTCCTGACCTCCCAGCTCCAACTTAGTCCCTTCCTTACCCACTCTGTCCCACCAGGAACAGAATGGGTGGACCCAGAGGACCCCACAGTCATTGCTGAGAATGAGCTCCTGGGAGCTGCGGCCGCTATTGAGGCTGCAGCCAAAAAGCTGGAGCAGCTGAAGCCCCGGGCCAAACCCAAGGTCAGTCCTGCTCCCTCCTTCTCCCAACCCTTGTAGTGGCCGAATATCCCCACTTTCAGCCCCCTCTTAGTTTGCATCTCTCTCTGCAACCTTTGTCTCTCCACTGCAGGAGGCGGATGAGTCCTTGAACTTTGAGGAGCAGATACTGGAAGCTGCCAAGTCCATAGCAGCAGCCACCAGTGCCCTGGTAAAGGCTGCATCAGCTGCCCAGAGGGAGCTGGTGGCCCAAGGGAAGGTAAGCACTTGGGTACCCAGAAGAATGGGGCAGCAGCAGCTTTACCATCCACACCCGCATCGCAGCCGGGGGCTTTTCCCTACCTACTAGAGCACGGGTCTGAGTGGCCTCTCCTTCTTCCTCCGCAGGTGGGCGCCATTCCAGCCAATGCACTGGATGATGGGCAGTGGTCCCAGGGCCTCATTTCTGCTGTGAGTGTACAACACCCACTAGGTCCCTCTGAGCTTGAGAGACTTGAGAGGGCTGGAGAGGGGATGAACCCGGGCCAGAGACATATTTTAATCTAATCTCCCCAATTTAGGCCCGGATGGTGGCTGCAGCCACCAACAACCTATGTGAGGCAGCCAATGCAGCTGTACAAGGCCATGCCAGCCAAGAGAAGCTCATCTCATCAGCCAAGCAGGTAGCTGCCTCCACAGCCCAGCTCCTTGTGGCCTGCAAGGTCAAGGCTGACCAGGACTCTGAGGCAATGAAACGGCTTCAGGTGAGGAACCCTGACCCATCCCCTTGTACCTTGGGCTGTGCTGCTTTAAACTGTCACCCCCAAGGCTTGCTTTCTGTGAGGTGGTTGAGGGACTCCCTCGGCTGCACGCTCAGCCTCCTGCTGCCTTCTCTCTGCCCAGGCTGCTGGCAATGCAGTGAAGCGAGCCTCAGACAACCTGGTGAAGGCGGCACAGAAGGCTGCAGCCTTTGAAGACCAAGAGAACGAGACAGTGGTGGTGAAGGAGAAGATGGTCGGGGGCATTGCCCAGGTGAGTTTTGCACCAGACACTCCAAGGGACACTGTCAGCAGGGCAGTCACGTTGCCTGTGCTGGTCCCAACTGCCCTATCCCCTACTGCACATACTTGCTGAGCTGAGTCCCCAATCTCCGTCCCTCAGATCATTGCCGCACAGGAAGAGATGCTTCGGAAGGAACGAGAGCTGGAAGAGGCGCGCAAGAAGCTGGCCCAGATCCGGCAGCAGCAGTACAAGTTCCTGCCCTCAGAGCTTCGAGATGAGCACTAGGACAGCTGCTTCTGTTTAACGCAGACCCAGCCCAGAGACTGTGCCTGCCACGACCAAAGCCTTCGGGGCTGTCGGGCCCAACCCGCCCAACCCCAGCACTCCCCAAGTGCCTGCCAAACCCCGGGCCTGGCCCTGCCCAGTCCCACTGCACATCCCCTGTCCCCTCCCTGACTCCAAGTGCCTTCATGCCCTAGGGCCCCCCAAGTGCCTGCCCCTCCCCAGAGTATTAACGCTCCAAGAGTATTATTAACGCTGCTGTACCTCATTCTGAACCTGCCAGGGCCTCAGCCCACTCCACTCTGCCAGCAGCTTCCAGCCAGTCCCCACGGCCTCAGCTCTATTCATCCTTTTTTGATACTGTCTACCCCTCAACCCCAGCTACCTATGGGGGTGCGAGGTTATAAGCCCCAAACAGGTTGACGCTCCAATAAAGGTGATTCTGCCTGCAGCTCTGCCTGGCTTCCTGGGGAGATGGGAGAGTCCCAGCGTGGGGGAGAACGGGATTGTGTTCTGTGACCAGCTTGATCTGCCTCAGAAAGGGAGTGGGGGCAGACTGGCAATCTGCCCCTGGAGGCCCCTTCCTCCTCCCTGCACCCGGATCCCCAAAGTCATCCTAGTCGGGAAGCTGTCCCTGAGAAGTCATACTCCTGTTGTCCCCTATCTCACTGGCCAGCAATTACACCTCACCAAGTGTCGTTTTGTTGCTGGAACAGCAGCTGCCACTGCTCTTTGTGGCTACTGGGGACACTGTTCTTCAGAACTGCTCAGAGTATGTGAACAAATTCGGTCCCTGGCCAAATTGGAATGTTCAAAAGCAGCTTTGCTAAAAATAATAAACCTGTAAAATACAAGTGTCTGACCCCGAAAGGATGGTGGCCACAGATTTGGTTGAGGCAGTTAAGAAGCAAAAAATCCACCCTGAGGCTGCCTGTCAAGGCTACTGTCGACTGGATTGGGACACTTCTAGGCCTCCCAGGCCTTGCCACTCCTGCCTAGAACAGCACTAGAAGAAAAGGCACTGAGAAAGCTCGGCCCAGGTGTGAGATGCGGTAGCTGGTGGGCAGAGCCCCAGTAGTGACCAGGCCGGTGCTGGGAGCCCCGTTGTGGCCGCCCTCCTAATCTGGAGGTTCAGGAAAGGGAGGCGGCCAGGGGGGTGGGTGCTGTGCCTCCACTGCCTTCTGCATTCGCCCCCTCTGCCCACGCTGCGTGGGCTACGTCGCAGTCCTCTGAGGTCTGCTGCGATTTTCATGCATGATTCTTTAACCAATCCTGTTGCCCAGTATGTTACTTCCTTGCTTCTCCCTCCAAATAGAACACCAACACCACCCAACTGCTGCTACTAGGGTGCCTTCCACCTCCTTGAAGCCATGACATCTTCTCCCACCCCTGTGGAGTTAAAGTAGAATTACTTTGTCCTCCCCAGGGCAGCCCACTAGGGAAGGTGCCAACTTTCCACCATCACTGCTATGACCTGCGATTAACTCATTCAATATTTGCTAAGCCAAGCCTGTGCTAAGCACTGGAAAACAGAGATGTATTATCACCTCTCTGACACAGAGGACTGGCAACTCAGCACACCCTGCAATGGCCCCCGGACTCCAGATTCAGTGTCCTAGCATCATGAGTTGAGGACCTTGGAGATCAAATCCCTTCTATAACCTCCCCAACAAGTGGCAGTCCAAACTGTTTGAACTCCAGCTGTGAGCCCAGGACAGCTGCTTCCTCCTGCCACCACTTCCCGGCCGCATTCTCAGGAACTGTGAACAATCACGTGCCTCTCACTAGGGGTGCCTCGGGGAGCCTTCCGGGGAGAGGCTCAAACACCCATTAGACCAGCAGTTCTTAAAATGTGGCCCTCAGTCCCCTAGGGGTTCTCAAGACCCTTTCAGGGGTCCAGAAGATCAAGCTTATTTTCATAATAATCTTATGAAATAAAAGACATTATTTTCCTTTCGCACAGTGTCAACATTTGCACTGACAGTGCAAAAACGTATGTGGGTAAAATTGCCAAGGCCGTGGCCCAAAGCGTACTAACAGTCACTGTATTCTTTACCGCCAGGCACTAGCAATTTCAGGAATAAATGCTAGCCTCACTTCAGAATGTCCTTGGTGAAGCAATAAAAAATTATTAATTTTATTAAATCTTAATCCTTGAGTAACAAGTCTTTTCAATATTCTGTGTGATGAACTGGGAAGCATGCACAAGCCCCTCATCTGCAGACCACAGTACGCTGGGGGCTCCAGGAAAGCACCTGGGCAATTCTTTGAGTTGTGAGCTGAACTAACTGCTTTTTTCATGAAACACCATTTACTCGAAAGAATGACTGACAGACAAACCATGGTTACCAGACTTGGGTCTCTGGCAGACCTTTTCTCAAAAAGGAACCAAGTGAGTCTGTCACTCCAGGGAAAAACCTGACAGTATTTGTGCCAATTGTTACAATTCAATCTTTCAAGTGAAAATTAGAATTCTGGAAAACTTCTATCTGCCCCCATGAGCTTCACAGCTTCCCAAAACTTAAAACTTAGACTTTTCTGTTGAAACCAAACAAGATATTAAAGAACGTTATTTTTTTAAGAATGTATAATGAAATATGTCAGCATTTGGAACATCTGCCTAGCTCCGTGAATCAGTGTTTCCCAAGTGACCAGTGCACGAGGTTACAAAACCACCCCTGGGTAAAAGATCCAGCCAAAGTACAGTACAGACCAATGGATTTTAAGGCAACATAGTACAAAAAGGGTATTGATATGGTTGCAGGATCCACATTGCAACTAACCCTTAAGAAACTACCATTTGTCAAGTGTTGGCGTAGTACCAAAGAATAGCCACAATTAGCTGAAAAGGCTATAAATATACTACTCTCTTTTCCAACTACATGTCTGTGTCAGACTAGGTTTTCCTCCTACACAGTCGGCCCTCTGTATCTGAGGATGTGGAACCCAGGGATACTGAGTGCCAGGGCCAAGGGAGGGACTTGAGCATCCATGCATTTCGGTACCCACAGGGGTCCTGGGACCAATCCTTCCCGGATGAGGGAGGACTGTATAGCACTTCAAACAAACCAACAGGTAGCGACAGATAGAAAGCACAACTAACGGGCCGGCCCCGTGGCCGAGTGGTTAAGTTCATGCGCTCCGCTTCCCGGCCCAGGGTTTTGCCAGTGCGGATCCTGGGCGCGGACATGGCATCGCTCATCAGGCCACGCTGAGGCGGCGTCCCACATGCCACAACTGGAAGGACCTACAACTAGAATATACAGCTATGTACTAGGGGGATTTGGGGAGAAAAAGCAGAAAAAAAAAAAATGATTGGCAATAGTTGTTAGCTTGGGTGCCATTCTTTTAAAAAAAAAAAAAAAAAGGAAAGCACAACTAGATTCTGAGAATGCAGCCGTCCTCTACTGAGACAGATATTAAAGAGAGTCACAAAAATGTAAAAGAAGTGCCATCCTCTAACTGCCATCTGGGGAGGTGAATATAGCTGTTTTTCATTAAAAACATTTATGTTAACGTGGTTAATGTGCAATGGGTTTATTTCTGTTACCTCTAATGAATCAATAAATGTTTTAAAATTTTCTGTTTCCATTTTAATACGGTAAGTATTGGTAGAGGTAACCCACTTTTTTATTGAAGCCTTTTGGATCTCAAACCCCACTCAGTTTTCGAGTGTAAGCGGTTCTAAGGCCAAAAAGTTTGAGAACTGCCACACCAGACCATGAGTTCCTCTAGATCCACACAGTATTAGTATCTTTGTGTACCTGGAACCTAGTACATAAAAATCCACCTGGCAAATATTTATCAGGCGCCAACTCTCTGCCTGATGCTATGCTAGGCAGTGGGGATTCAGAACTGAAAAAGGGCCTCCCTGTTCCGCAGGACTCGAAGACCAATGTAAAAGACACACAGGTGCAAAACCAGTTATAACAGAGACTCTGTTCAGAAGGATGGGAGCCTGCACCAGTAACTTGCACCTATGGGGGGAGTGGGGAAGAGTGGCCTGGGAAAGTTTCCCAGAACAACTGACACTTGATCTGAGTCTTTAAGGCCACCGGGAATCAGCCAAGGGAAGAGCATTTTAGGGAGAGAGAACAGAATGCATAAAAGGTGGAAGCTTTAGGAAAAGTATGGCTAGCTCAGGTGCCTGCAGGTGGCTCAGTAAGAATGCAGCATAAAGTACAAGTCGGTGCGCTGGGGGTGAGGTTGGCAATGAAAAGAGCCAAGGCTGGAGAAGCAGGTGGGGCTAAAACAAAGGGCCTTATATACCATATTAAGAAATGTGAATCTTTATCTTCAAAGGAGGGAGGGAGTAGGGAGGGGTTTGGGAGGATTTGGGGATCCTATTCACACCAACTTTTTAAAAGATCCTTGGTAACAATGTCTGAGGGATAGTCGAATGAATGAATGAGTTGGGGAACTAGGAGTAAGGCCACAACAGACCCAGGCAGGAGGTAATATAGCGAGCTGCCCGAGGCAATCCCAGTCGAAGAGGAAGCTCATTTTTAGGAAATAGAATCTATAGGATTGAACGGTTGTGGGAAGTGAGGGCCAGCGGAGCCCTTGATACCGCCAGGGATCTCGCACTGGCTACTGGGTGGACGCAGGTGTCCTGCCTGAGTTTGGGGAAAACAGGGAGGTGGGCTGGAGCGAGCACCGCGAGGTCAGCTTTGTTCCACGCGCGGCCGCAGGCAGCTGAGCAGATCTAAACACATTTCCGCGCCCCTCCCCCCCGCGCCCCTCCCCGGCCCGGGGCCGACGGTTCCCACGGTTCCCACCCCCGCCGGCAAAGCCAGGCCTCCCACTCCTCTGCCCCTGGGGAGCCTGGCGAAGCGCTCCCTCCTGGCTCCCTGCGCCTCGCCTCCCCTCCCCCTCCTCGGAGGCGGCCCCCCACTTCCTCTCCCCCCACCCCGGGGACAGCGCGAACAGCCTCGCGCCCCCGCCTCAGACGTCCCGACCCCAGGACGGGCTCCGGGAGCCGCTTCTGGCGGCCTCGGCGGGAGGGGGCGTCTCACCCCGGCTCCGGCCGCCGCCGCTCGGAAACTCTTCCCCTCGCCCCTGCCTTCCCCGCCCCAGCCCGGCCCCGCCTCCCCACGGGGAAACATCCCAAAAAAGGGCAGAAAAGGAATTTCGGCGTAAAGTTGGCCCACAAGAGAAGAGAGAAGAGTCCGCTGGGAGAAGGGGAGGAGAAGGCGGGGCGCGGGGCAAGAGGGAGGGGAGAAGCGGGGGAGGGGCGTGGAGGGAGCCTGGCGGGGGCCGGGAGGGGGCGGGGGCGCGCGGTGCGCAGCCGCCTGGAGCCGCGTGGAAACTATGCGGGCGCGTGGGGGCGGGGCGGCGGCCCGAGCTGGGCCCCGAGGCCGGGCGACCAGAAGAGGGGCCCTGGCTCCAGGGGCAGGGGCTGGAAGAGGAAGCGAGGGGAAGTGAGGTCAGGCACGCCCTCGCTCCGCACTGCGACCGGGGCCTTGGGCTCCCTTCCTGCCTCAGTTTCCCCAAGTCACTGGTGAGACTGCGTTATCACTACCACGTCAATAACTCAAACCCAGAGTCTGGGACTCAGGGGAAACTGAGGCACTCGAACCGCGAAGGAGCCCCGCCTCCGAAGAGACATTTAATCCGGGGGGATTTACAGGAAACTTCTAAATTAAGGGCAGCGGCTGCTGCAGCTGAGGGGGGGCACGCCGGTCCCTTCTCGCGGGCAGCTGCCGTGAGCTCACGCCCCGAAATAGCCCCAGGGGCCCCAGCCACAGCTGCCATGGGGCCAGGCTGTCACTCAGAGGAAGCCCGGAGCCCCCCGTCCGAGGGACCCCTCCCCGCCGCAGCGCTAGTGTTTTTTCAGCGGACTGCCCCGGCCACTTTCCCTTCCGACGGCTCGAGGGAGGGGGAGGCGATCCCGAAGGGGTGGGTGCTGGGGGCCGCCGCGCCCCCGTCCGGGCTGTGCTTCTGCCCCTAAAAGGTTTGGGCCGCGGTGGGGGAGGGTCCCGGTCCCCGGCTCCGCCCGGTCCCTCCCCGCCTTTTAGGCGCCCGCGCGGCTGGGACATCCCAGTCCCGCTTGGTCCTCCTCGCCCGCCACCGGTGCGTCCAGTCCACGCAGCCAGCCCAGTTCACCCGGTCCATACCGCCCGCCGGCCGGCCCGTCCCCCACCGCAGCCATGGACGCCATCAAGAAGAAGATGCAGATGCTAAAGTTGGACAAGGAGAATGCCATCGACCGCGCTGAGCAGGCCGAGGCCGACAAGAAGCAAGCTGAGGACCGCTGCAAGCAGGTGGGGGCCCCGGACCCGGTGCAACCCTCTCCCCCTCAACGAGGTCGAGTAGGCCCTGCCCTGAGGGCCCTAGCCGCGGGCCTGCCCTAGCCGCGGGCCTGCCGTGCAAGGCTCCTTCCCATCCAGTGTGGGGGCTGGGCCTTCACAGTACCCCCAGGGCCCTAGCCAGAGCCACGTTTCATCTCACCCACCCTAGCCTGGGAATCCCCAGCTCCCTACTGTCCACTCCTGCCCATCTGGAACAATGATGGGCCCTACCCCTGGGGACTGGGAGCGTTCTCTCTACCCCCACCAGGTCCCTCCAACACCCTTGGCTGCACGGCCCCCTCTGCTATCCCTCTTCCTCCCCAAGAGCCTCTAAGTATGTCCTAGTGCCCCTCACACAGCCCTGCCTCCAGCTGGCCGGGCCTGGCTAACCGAGACCTCTTTCTCCCAGCTGGAGGAGGAGCAGCAGGCCCTCCAGAAGAAGCTGAAGGGGACGGAGGACGAGGTGGAGAAGTATTCTGAGTCAGTGAAGGATGCCCAGGAAAAACTGGAGCAGGCCGAGAAGAAGGCCACCGACGTGAGTGTGCACCTGGGCAACTGTGGGACAGTGAGCACACTGGGAGGGGTCCTGGACGTGGGGATGAAGGAGAGGGGACCCAGATATCCCCAGCACCAGGACAGAAGGGGTTTCCTCTTAGGAACCAGGCTCAGGCAAGCTTGCACAAATCCTGGAGGCAGTAGGTAAATCAAAACCACCTCCCACTTACCCCGAGGACAAGGAGTCTTATAATTCCGTTTGGTGCCAGCTCTTAGAATGTACGGTGATCAAGCTGTGAGTCATCCTGGGGGTGGGTGGAACAGGAATTTACCATCCACCTCAATTCATCCTCCAGCTGAAAATGGAGAGGAGACTGCAGCTACATTTGCGGGGTGTGGGTGTAGATGCTGTAGGCAGGAGGAGGAAGAGGAATCCAGAGATGGGGCCCGATTTGAATTACATCCCTGGGGGGCCATTAGAAATGCCCTGGCCTTGGCCTCTGGCCCCAGCGGGCTTGCTGTGCACTAGGCCCAGCTCAGGTTCTAACAGCCCCTCATTTACCCTCATTAAGCTGTCAGCCTTGAGACCATGCCAGGCCAAAGGGCAGAGGGACAGGGCCACAAACGCCAAGGCACCACCTTGGCAGGTCCTACTCCCTCTGAGATTTCTCTGCCCACCCTACACCCCCTAACCAGACTTCTCCACCTACTGCCATGCCTAACCCCCACCTTGAGGTTAGAGAATGGCCATATGACTTTGGACATGGTACTTCTACTATTCTTTGCCTCAGTTTCCCCATTTGCCTTCCACCCAGGATTCTCTTAAGTTTAAGATGAGCCTATGGTTGGATGGATGAGGGGATTAGCAGAAGTATGATCTGAACATCCAAGATCAGAGATGACATTACTGTTTGTGTTGACCATTGTCCATGTTCCCCAACCCGCCCCCCCAAGGTTGGTTTCTCTGACCTCCAGCCTTTGGTGTTGGTTCTCCACCAGCCCTGGCACTCGGGAGGGAACTGGCCTGCAGCTGCTAGTGAAGACAACCCCGGGCATCTGACACTCTATAAATAACCAAGGCCCAGTGCAGCTGGAGGCAGGACTGGAAACCCAAGGAGCTGGATGGGGGCTGGAGGGGGGAGCAGGGGCCAGGGACAGAGCTGGAGAAGCAGGGCTGCAGTGCCAGGCCAGATGGGAAACACTGCCCAAACTTACTGTGTGACCTTGAACGCAGCGCTTAACTTACACACTGCCTCAGTTTCTCCCTTCTCTCTTGCTTCCCATTTGTCCAGTGGGGACAGTAATGCCTGCCCTGGGGTCAGAGAGCTGCATCCATAACTGGGAAGAGCTTGAGAAGCAGAAAATGGCAAATGTCGGTCCTGTGATGAGGACCCCAGGACTTCCCAGATTCTCCAGTCATTTGTCACCCCACTACCATGAATATCATGAAGAGAGTTTTCCTTTAAAGTCTCATCTCTCTCTAGAGGAGACCCCCAATGTCCCCCAGAGTCATTCTTCCCAACCCCCAGTGCCGTCCCCAGAATCCTTCCACACTGCGTCATCTGGCTCTGTGCCCACAATGGGCTCTTGTCACTTGTCCAAGTGGCCTTCAGCACCTGGAGGAGAAGCTACAACTACTTTCTATGGAGGGTGCTGTTTTCCCTGCCTGGTAGTCCAAGCCAGGACCTGCTTTCCACCCCCTCGGCCCCCAGTGCTTCCACCCCTCTCTTCCCTCTCACTCACTGCTTCTCCGGCTGCTCCTCTCTGCTTTCCAGTCTTAAATCTCAGGCTCTCTCAGTCTTTGTCTTTGAGAGAGCGCAGGGGTAGCCTAACACTTAGGAAGTGTGGACTCTGTGCTGGCAAGGGGCTCAAGTGCTCTCTGCTTATACTCTTTCCCAAACTTGGCTTATCAGAATTGCCTCGGAGGTTTAAAGAAAAAGACACAAAGATTTCCAAGGCCCTGCCCTGCAGAGCCCAGTTCGGTGGGTCTAGTGTGGAGCTGAGAACCCGATTATTTTAGAAGCCTCCCAGGTGGCTCTGTTGATTAATCGAGTGTTAGAAGAACTGCCTTATCACAGAACAGCCTATGAAGGCGGAACTGCTGTTGTCAACTCTGAGGCTTAGAGAGATTCAGTAAGTTGCTCAAGGTCACACAAGTGTTGAGTGGCTGAGCTGTGGCTTAAAGACAGCGGTCTGATTCAGAGCCGATGCTCTTAACACCAAGCTGCTCTGCCGCTCCCGTTTTCCTTTATTGGGGCCCTTTTTTTTTTGAGGAAGACTGGCCCTGAGCTAACATCTGTGCCCATCTTCCTCTACTTATATGTGGAGCGCCCTCCACAGCTTGCTTGATAAGCAGAGCTAGGTCCGCTCCTGGGATCCGAACCGGCGAACCCCAGGCTGCCGAGGCAGAGTACAGGAGCTTACTACTGCGCCCCCGGGCCGGCTGCTGGGGCCCTTCTTGCTCTGCCTCTTTTCCTCAAGGTGTCCTCAGTTTCCATGGACCTTCTCCAAAACCTCCATGGTTTTGCCTCTATGTTGCAGGATCAGGGGCTGAGTATCCATCACTCACACTGGCCTTGCACCACCCCCAGTTGCCTCCCAGCCTTGGCAGGGAGCCCCATGGCACAGCCAAGGAGGTCCCATATAGGCCTGGCTTGCCTCCTGAGCCCCTCGCTGGGAGTCTGCCTGGCTTCTAGTGACATCTCAGAGCTTGAGTCTGTGACTGGCTATTTTTAGCAGCAGAGAGGTCTGGTTGGCCTCATTCTTCCCCACCCCCTTACCGGCCAGGCCATGCTGTGGAGGAGTCGGGGCTGCCTCAGACCTGGTCCCAGCTCTCCAGGGGACAGAGGGACCTGCATGCAGATTACCACTGGGAGACTAACCATGCACCGTGCCAGAAGAGGCCCCGTGGCAGGGGAGTGGAGGCTGTCAAGGAATGCGTACTTTGGGCTGGAGCACAGTCTGGGCAGAAGATAGTTGGCTGGGGGAAAACATGGGTTGACAGTCTGGAAGCCAGGAAGCCTAGGTTCTTTCTGACAAGAATCTCACTGTTCTCTGGAGCCTCTCTGATCCTCATCCGAGGCAGACAAAGCCTTCGTGACCTCTGACCTTTGACCCACAGGCTGAAGCAGATGTGGCCTCTCTGAACCGCCGTATTCAGCTGGTAGAGGAGGAGCTGGACCGGGCACAGGAGCGCCTGGCTACAGCCCTGCAGAAGCTGGAGGAGGCTGAGAAGGCAGCCGATGAGAGTGAGAGGTGCGCAGGGGGCCCTCGGGGTGGGTCAGAGAGGGGGTGCAGAAACTGTCTCTGCTGATCCTGAACCCCACCCCCACCCCTCTCCCTGCCTCTCAGAGGAATGAAGGTCATCGAAAACCGAGCCATGAAGGATGAGGAAAAGATGGAGCTGCAGGAGATGCAGCTGAAGGAGGCCAAGCACATCGCTGAGGATTCAGACCGCAAATATGAGGAGGTGACCGCCCTGCCCCACTTCCTTCTCATTCCCAAGCCCCAGACACCCCCAGTCATTCCCCATGGATCTGCTCCTCCTCTCCCCGCAGGTGGCCAGGAAGCTGGTGATCCTGGAAGGAGAGCTGGAGCGCTCAGAAGAGAGAGCTGAGGTGGCTGAGAGGTGAGGATGCCCTGGGGCGGCAGTGGAACTTGGCCTGCGCCTGTCGCTGAGGGGCAGTCTGCGCAGTGGGCAGGCAGTTTCTCAGGCTCGGGCCGTAGGGACAGGTCCTGTCCTCTGACCCCTACCCACTGCCCCCAGCCGAGCCAGGCAGCTGGAGGAGGAACTTCGGACCATGGACCAGGCCCTCAAGTCCCTGATGGCCTCAGAGGAGGAGGTAGTGGCCTCTCTGGACCTTTCTGGGCAATGGCACCTTCTCTCAGCTCACCTCCCTCCATCTCAGGCTGCTGTCACCTGCTGGGGTCGGGGAGGGCCGAGACCTCCAAGCTCTGCCTGCTCTCACTCTCACAACTTTGCTCTTCTCTTCTCTCCTCCATCCCTCCCCCACTGTGCCTTCTCTGCTGTCTCCCCACGGTGCCCTCACACCCCACCCTGCCACACACCCCCTGCAGTAAATGTGGGGACCTAGAGGAGGAGCTGAAAATTGTTACCAACAACTTGAAATCCCTGGAAGCCCAGGCGGACAAGGTAGAGGGGGGCAGAGGGGCAGTGAGGCTGGGGTCCTCCAGGGGAGGGAGGCGCTGGGCCAGGCAGGGTGGGGCTGGGTGTTCACTGGAGACAAGCTGCTGAGTGGCCTGTGGGGCTCAGTGGAGAGGTGAAGGGTCTGTGGAGGCGATCTGCTGACGGCATGTGTGTGTCCCCGCAAGTACTCCACCAAAGAGGATAAATACGAAGAGGAGATCAAACTGCTGGAGGAGAAGCTGAAGGAGGTGAGAGGCCTTTACCTCCTCCCCAGCCCCCCTTCCCCGCCAGAGACTGCCTGCGGCCGGCCGGGAGGCCAGGGCAGGGATGGAAGAGAAGGGGAACTTGAGTGACAGTGTCTGGGAGGGGCTAACTTTTTGTCATTTCCCCCGTCTTGCCCTTACTCCCAGGCTGAGACCCGAGCAGAGTTTGCCGAAAGGTCTGTGGCGAAGTTGGAGAAAACCATCGATGACCTGGAAGGTAAAAGGACTACTCCCCAGTACCCGAAACCTTTTTAAATAGATCCACACTCCCTGCCACTGTTGCTCTGTCCCTCATCTTCCCATCCCATTATATTTGCCACAGTCAGCTAGGGTGGGCCCACCTGGGGCTCCGCAAACTCTGTGCCTGCCGTTCAAGTTGTAGCGGCTCTGGCACATGAACGCCGGTGTTTCTCACACTTGGGAGTGCATGAGCACCCCCAGAGAGTTTAAAACACAGATTCCTGGGCCTGTTCCGAAGCGATCGCTGACTTGGGCTGGAGAATTTGAATGTTTCCCCAGCTCCCTGGTGGCCAGCGCCATGGTCCTCAGACCACACTTTGAGTAGCACTGAGCTGGACTGTTCTGTCTCCAAGCGCAACACAGCAGAGCCGCACCACAGCGGCTTCACTGCAGAGCTATCTGCTGTCATGTCTAGGCTTTCAACATTAATGGAAAATACTACTTTAAGCTAGATTTAGTGAAAACAAATACCTAGGTATTTCCTAGTCTGTGGCTATTCCTCACTATTTTCAACAATGTTGTGCCCGAAACTGTCCTTCCTCTTCACTCTGCGGTGACCCTTGCACCTTCGTAACGGCCACTTCTCTCGCTTCCAGCCTTCTCAGGCAGGCCTCAGCTCTATCTCCATCTTTAGGACTTTAGACCTTTCTGGCTCGAGCACCCTACCTCCGCCCTGAAGCAAGCACTCCTGCTTCTCCAAAGCACTGTGCCCCCGGGTCCCAGGGGAGACAGGAGCTTGGGGGAAAGAACAATTTAGGGGGACCGGGAGGGGAGGAGGGAGCCCTGACAGCTGTGCAGCCTGTTCTCCAGCCTCTCTGGCACTCCATCTTTGTCCACCTCTCTCTGATTCTTGTTCTCTCTTTCCATTACCCTCTCTCCTTCCTTTCCGCTTTCCCTCTGTTCCCTCTCCCCACACTCCCACCTGGTCTTCCTGCCCCGGGCCCCCCCCCCAGACGAAGTCTATGCACAGAAGATGAAGTACAAGGCCATCAGCGAGGAGCTGGACAACGCACTCAATGACATCACCTCCCTCTGAGCCCCCACCAGTGTGGCCCCTCGGCCCCTTCTCCCCTCACCAGTGTGGCCCTTCGGTCCCTTTTCCCCCTGCCGATGTGGCCCCTTGGCCCTTCTCCCCTCTCCTTTCCATTCTCTCTGTGGGGAGGGGGCAGGCAGAAGGAGCAGAAATTGCCGGCATCGCATAGCCAGCCTGGGCGCAGCCTAGGAGAGCCCCCATCGCACCTCCTGCCCACCCTGGCGCTTGCTTCTTCCTTCTCTCCGCCCACTCCCTGCTCTGCCCACTGGCCTCTACCTCTCTCTGCTGCTTAATAAACTCAACTTGGTCTCCATGCTGTTTTCCTGCCCTCCGGAGAGCACTTTCATCACCCCCAGAGCACTGGTTCACTGCTGAGACTCTGGCTCTTACAGACACCCCCAATCTTGTGACCCCACCACTGAGCTCACCCACAAAACACTGTGGCCCACACAAAAACCCCCTGCACACCGGCACTCCCACTCTGACCTTCACTGCTGCATGTGGGCATGTGTGACCCCATTAGTCACCGAGCCCTCTGGCGCCTCTGAGAGACACACCCATCTGCAGACCCAGGCCTGTCACTGACCTCAGGGTGCTCGGCCGGGTTCCCCGGACTGGAAGGAATGACTGGAAGGGAAGTGACTGGAAGGGAAACAGGGCGGTGAGGTGCAGGGGAGGGGCAAGGAGCTGTGAAAGGTCTGGGATGAAGTTTGGGAAAGTGATGGAGGCCAGCAGCGTGGGGTTTTCACTGCAGGTCTGTTTTCTGCCTCAAGTCTGTCTGTCTATCTGGCCCTCCCTTTCCTTGCTCAGTCTTTGTCTTTCTTTCAGTTTCCAACTCAAACCTTCTAAAGAAGGAGCATAAATTAGTTTATGACTTAGGCCTTCCCATCCCACCTCCATGACCCCGAAGCCTCGAGTGAGGCATCCATGTCTGTCCTGGTCAATCCGTCCATTCTCCCTCCGGGGTGACTTCATGGGGTCCTCAGATCCCTGAATGCTGTGTCCTCCTGGGCCTCCAACCACTCCATGTCTATTTGTCGCATCCCCCCTCGTGCCTCCCCGTGTCTCTCCCCTCCCCCTCCTCATGTGCTGCTTCCCCACACAGAGACCTTGGCCAGTGCCAAGGAGGAGAACGTGGAGATTCACCAGACCCTCGACCAGACCCTGCTGGAACTCAACAACCTGTGAGGGCTGGCCCTGCCCCGAGCCAGGCTACAGTTGCCGCCCCAACCCAATAAAACTGATGTTACCAGCATCACAGGGCCCTTTAAACTTTTCTTTAGTGTTGGCGATGGTGATGGTAGGAGAAGGCTGAGAGGATGCCTGAGAGGAGCAATGGAGTTGGGAGACCTTTGAGTGAGCAGGGCCTGGGTCCATGCTCTGCAATGGGAGCCAAGAGGTGGGGGCACTGGGCTCATTAAGGCGGGGTTGTATTGGGGCCGGCCCAGTGCTGCAGCGGTTAAGTTTGCATGTTCCGCTTCGGCAGCCCCGGGTTTGCCAGTTTGGATCCAGGGTGCGGACAGGGCACCACTTGGCAAGCCATGCTGAGGCAGGTGTCCCACATATAAAAAGTAGAGGAAGGTGGGTACCGACGTTAGCTCAGGGCCAGTCTTCCTCAGCAAAAAGAGGATTGGCAGATGTTAGCTCAGGGCTAATCTTCCTCAAAAAATTAATTAAATTAAATAAATAAGGAGGGGTTGTGAGCAGGCCACGTGAAGCAGACAGCCCAACAGGGCCGGGGGAACATCCTGGCCCCTACTCCCTGCAGGGCAGAGGAGCTGCTGTCACAGCATTGCCCCATTCCGGCAGGCGGCTGGGCCACACAACACAATCTGAAGACAACATTGCAAAGCTACACAGGTTGTACTTGAGCAGGGTGAGAGCCCAAAGCCTTGATGTGATGGTAAGCCTCAAGGCTTCCGCCCCTACCCACTGCCCTACCCCCGACACACACACACACACACACACACACACACACACACACACACACACACACACTCGAGGCCATTCCAACAATATCGGTCATTTCTGCCCTCTTCCTGCTAATACCTGTGTAGGCAGAATAGTGACCCCCGCCCAAGATGTCCACACCTTAATCCTATGAAATGTTACATGGGAATGGGTAAGCATTTTGAGAAAGGGTGATTATCCTAGTTTATCTGGGTGGGCCCAATGTGACCACAAGGGTCTTTAGAAGAGGGAGGCAAGAAGGTGAGATGTGACAATGGAAGCAAGAGTTTGGAGCAATGTGAGGAAGGGGCCACAAGCCAAGGAATGCTTTGCTTCTAGAGGCTGAAAAAGGCAAGGAAACAGCCGCTCGGAGCGTCCAGAAAGAACCACTCCTGCCAACAGCTTGACTTTAGCCTGTAAGAGTCACTTTGGACTTCTGACCTTGCGAACTCTAAGAGACTAAATGTGCGTTACCATTAAGTGTGTGGTAATTTGTTACAGCAGCAATTGGAAGTGAATACATCATCCTTCTGATTTGGGGAACAAAGGTGCCTTCCACATCTTTCATGAGAAACATTTATTTAAAAAAAACCCTTGGAGGTTAAAAAGGAAGTGGTGTGATGGGCAGGACACAACAAAGCCTCCAGTGCCCCTCACTCCTGGCTGCTGGCTCTGCACAGTCTCCAAGTTGCAGGCCTCTAGGCGACAGTCTCGGTGACCTCTGCTGGGTGGTAGCTAACACTCCCTTTGGTCCCACTTCTGAGTCTACACAACAGGAAGCCTAAATCAGAAAACTGGCCTAGGACGAGCTCACTTGCCCGCAATTTGCATGAAGCTGTTCTGGACTCCACTTGGGGAGGTGGGGGCTGTGCCTGAGGCAGGGCCAGCGTCATACCTCTGCTGCCTTCTCATGTGCACAAGGAAGGCAATGCTGGTGGCTGCAAAGAGGAGGCCAAAAACCAGGGCCAGGACGTCCCCTGGGGGAGACAAGAGGCTGCCTCAGGGAGTGGAGAGGAGTCCACAGGTTCCCTCAGAGACTGCTTCCGTGTGTCCCCCCACCCCTGCCCCAAGTTCTCCAGCTGCCCCCAGTGTCTCAGAATCCAGAAGAGACTAGCAAAGGGATGGGGGTGGACACACAAGAAGGGGTAAGGTAAGCACGTTTTCCCTCCCTGAAAACTAAAGAGATTATTTGTGAAGGAGGGTGCTAGGAGATTTCTGGACCTTCATTCTGACTAATTCTTGCCCTGGGGACAATGGTGGAACCGCCACCTTGATCTGACACTCTATCCTACTGGGGTTGGAGGTCTGTTCTGCAGAAAAGGAGAGAGGCAGCGGTGGCCGTGACTAGCCCCTGGGGCTGAATAGTGCCAACGGGCGTCCTCTCCAGCATCAGGAGCCAGAGGAGAGGCACAGACTCACCAGTAGCGAGGCAGGAGTTCAGGTGGACTGAAAAGAAAGAGGAGACATTAGAGTCAGGGCCTGTGACACCAGTGACAGACACAGGCCCGGATGAGGATGCGGCTGAGTGGCTTGGGGACATGGCACTATGGGGCACCAGACCAAGCTGCACCTGGCTCCGTGGTCCTAGGGCTGCTGTCCACTCCAGCAGGGAAGGAGGCCTCCATCACTCGCCCATTCAAAGGCTGCGTGGCCCTGAAGTTCAGCTGTAGCCGAGAGTTGTCAGGTCCCCACAGGGAGCCAGAGAGGGTATGGAGCTAAGGAGGTCAGTAGACAGTGGGGGTGGGCTCATGACAAGGAAACAAAAGGGCCACAGGCCTACTCATAGCCAGCACCTCCGGGCTCCACCCTCCAAGTCCCCCTCATCTCCCACACGGCCTCTTCATCTCGTTGCACATCTTCATGTCATCCCAGACCCCTTTCCCCACACCCCCTATGTCACCACCACACCCCAGCCTCACCTGCTTAGCACTCAGCCTCACTGTCTGGTTGAACACAGTCCAGATGACCCCCTGGGCACAGGGGGGTGTGGTCAGGGACCCCTCATATCGGAAGTAGCGGCTGAGGTCAGAGGGCAGCAGTGCAGACACATCCAGTCCTGGGATCCAAGTCTCTGAGTCTATGGAGAGGATCCGTGCTGGAGTCCCACCTGGGCCCTCCTTGCCCCCAAAGCTTCGGGGATGAGCAGGGATACAGTTTCATCTCCCAGAAGCCAAGCTGACTCAACTCCCTGAGACTGCTTCTTCACCAAGTGTGTCCCTTCCCATAACTCAGCAAAGACGTAACTCAGAAGAAAGTAAAAGGGACCAGCACGATGGCGCAGCAGTTAAGTTCTCACGTTCCGCTTCTTAGCGGCCCGGGGTTCGCTGGTTCGGATCCTGGTTGCAGACATGGCACTGCTTGGCACGCCATGCTGTGGTAGGCATCCCACATATAAAGTAGAGGAAGATGGGCACGGATGTTAGCTCAGGGCCAGGCTTCCTCAGCAAAACGAGGAGGACTGGCAGAAGTTAGCTCAGGGCTAATCTTCCTCAAAAAAAAAAAAAAAAAGAAAGTAAAGGGCTCGGGGGCCTCACAGAGTGAGAGAGTGTCTCCTTACGGCCTCCCTCTGAATCTTTACTCTTACTTTCATACTATGATAATATGCTAGACCACAGATTTAAGCCCAGAGTGAATCAAAAGGGAAAATGAGGGGCTGGCCCCACAGCCTAGTGGTTAAGTTTGGCACGTTCCATTTTGGCAGCCCAGGTTAGGTTCTCATGTGCAAACCTACACCACTCATCAGTGGCCATGCTGTGGCAGCAACCCACATAAGAAGTAGAGGAAGATTGGCACAAATGTTAGCTCAGGGCAAATCTTCCTCAAGCAAAAAAAGGAAGATTGGCAATGGATGTTAGCTCAAGGTGAATCTACTTTGGCCAAAAAAAAAAAAAAGGGGAAATGAGCTGAATAACTTGTAAATAACTATATATATTTGCAACTATAAAAAATAGATACAAAAACTCAAAAAGCACAGTTCCCTCTAGTGTGGCAAAACTTAAGGTCCAGTAAGGTAAGTGAGACAAAATGTCCTAGAGTGACTGAGAAGGAAAAGATTTCCAACAAAAGTATTTATAAATTTAAAATATTTGACATTTAAGAAGAAAAATTTTAACTCTCCAGAGTCAACCCCTGAAGTTCCGAACACTATTTTCTTGGTCTTATTCGCTTTCTGTCTTATTTTGGTTTGGTTTGGTTTTCGGTTTTTGACCATAAAGCCTGTGGCAGCAGTGTGCCTTTGTCCGTCTGCCTCTGTTCAGCTTCATAGTTACTGTCAAGATCGCAGTCGGCCAGCTCACTCACCAGCCCCTCTCCAGGAGGCAGCCCACCTGTGTGCTCAGACTTGAGGCTCACCCAAGAGCCATTCCCTTTTTTATTTACAGATTGGCACCTGAGCTAACATCTGTTGCCAATCTTCTTTTTTTTTTCTTTCCTCCTTCTTCTCCCCAAAGGCCCCCCCACCAACCCCGTACATAGTTGTATATTCTAGTTGTGAGTGTCTCTGGTTGTGCCATGTGGGACGCCACCTCGGCATGGCCTGATGAGCCGTGCCTGGTCCTTGCCCAGGATCCGAACTGGGGAAACGCCGGGCGGCCAAAGCAGAGCGCGTGAACTTAACTGCTCAGCCACCGGGCCGGTGCCCCAAGGGCGATTCTTTATGAACAAGGGTATCAAGGCTAGTGTCCAGACCAACAAACTGACCTTCCTCAGTGATTTCTTCCAAGTGTGACAACAACTGCTCATAGGCGCTGTTTTCTTCTGGGCCTTCCTAGGAGATGACAGTGCAATACAGGTTAATACGTGTATCTAAGGCCATGGCTAGGGCTGGGCTGGGGCCTGAGGTGAGGGGGGTTCCCATTCCTCAGCCCCGCCCCATTCCTCAACTCTGAGCATGTGAGAAGAACATAAAATCTTATGTATTATTACTCAAAGTCCATTTACTCTTATTTTGCAAAATAACCTAACAAGCTTGGCAGACTAGTTTTCAAGGGCACATTGGAGAAGGAAGGTGGGTCACCTCATTAGGATACAAGGCCCTCAGGGACCTGGGCCCTTCTTACTCTTCAGTCTCACTCATCGCTGTCCCCCGACAGTCCATGGTATCCCCAAAGAAAACCATTACAACCTTTGTATTCGTGTTACCTCTGCATTCACCTCATAATTCACGTGTTGACCCCTGGAGCTAGGACACACTATTTCCCAGGTGCGTCTCTGAACTTTGTGCCATGAGGCAGTGAGTGAGCCTAGCAGGTGTCTCAGCGCCTCCATTTTATCAGCCTCCTCTAATCATTATGTATGTAGCCAAAGAGGTCACTAAATATTTCTCTAGACTTTATTGCATTTCACAAAGGGGGAAATTATGTGTTATGGGTCATAGGAGTATTAGAGAAATTACCTGATGTCCAGTCTAGTGCATCTGCCATTCTGGCATTTCCTGAATGGGCCATGTTCTGAGCCTTTCCCATGAATGAAGGCTTTGGGTTTCACCTCCTCTCTGAAGCCTTCCCTGAATACCTCTTTTACTCTGACTACCTTCCTATAGGTGTATCCTGTCAGCCTCTCTCACTGGCTGTATGTTTTCCTGAGAGACAGGGACCCATGGGCCCACGGTTTCCAGCCCAGTGCGTGGCTCACAATGGGGTTTTTTTTGGAGGAAGGTTAGCTCTGAGCTAACATCCGAGCCCATCTTCCTCTACTTTATATGTGGGACGCTGCCACAGCATGGCTTGCCAAGCTGTGCGTTATCCGAACCGGTGAACCCACAGCCACAGAAGCAGAACGCGTGAACTTAACCGCTGCGCCACCAGGCTGGCCCCTCACAGTGCGTACTGAACGAATGAACTAAAGAGTTAATGGGGATGACAGCCAGATGCCAGGGTGAATGTGCTGGGATGGGGTCTCTGGGAGGAAGATACACGGAGCCCGGGGCGGGGAAGCAGGGAGTGGGAGTGTCCACGGCTGGTACCTGCAGAAAGGCGGCCAACACGGCCAGGCCCCCCGGGCGTCCCATGGCCTCATCCACTTTGGCAAATGCAGTGCTGATGTGAACCACGTGGATCTGAAGAGGACACGAGTGCAGGAGTGGGCACCATCCCGGGGGCGCGCCCCCTTCGCCCCTCCGCAAACAGCTGCGCGCTCACCTCGGCCGGGAAACGGTGGCCGCCAACCGTGTGCTCCGAGCCCGGGCGGCCCGCAGCTCCCCAGTGCAGATGCAGCTGCAGAGCCCGGTACTCCCGCCCGGGGCCCAGGGCCATCTCCAGCCCGGGAGGCAGGGTCAGCCGCACTGTGGCAGGAAAGGCAGGTGAGCTGAGCCGGGCCCGCCCATGGGGCCAGCCCCACTGCCGAGCACCCGCTGAGCGACCGGATTCCCCCGGCCCCTTCCGCCCAGACAGTCTCCGCCCCCCTGAGGCTCCGCCCCCAGACCCCTCACCCGTGTGGCCGTTGTTGCGCAGGCGCAGTTCGGGGAACGGCGGGAGCTCAAAGCCCAGGAGTTGTACCGAGCGCAGGGCGGGGCAGAAAACGGCTAGCTCGGGGCGGATATCCACTGGGGACTGGAAGCGGCCTGCGCAGGCTGGCGATACCTGCGGCCAGGGCGGGTCGCCTGCGGTGGGGAAGTGTGGGCAGGAAGTCTGGTGACAAGATCGGGAACTTTTAGGGAAGCGGGATAGAAATAATGAGGGGCGGAGTCAGGAGGCATCGGGGCGGGAAATAGAAATCGGTGATGTGGACAGAGACAGGCAGCAGGCGGTGTTGGGGCCTGGCCGACGTGGGTGCAGTGGGGGGGGCGGGCCCAGGACCAGAGTTGGGGCATGGCTGGGGAGTCAGATCGGCAGAGCTGGGTGCCCAGATTGGGTCTGTGTAGCGGGTTGGTGTCTCACCTCCATAGCGCCAATGTCTGTGGTCATCACCTGCTTAAAGAGATGAAGAGACTGATCTTCGAGCCCAGTCCTTCCCCAGTGGCTAGAACGAGGTGGATCCCTCTCACTAGCAGGGGTTCACAAACTCAGATGCCTCACAGGGCATAGCAGGTAACAGAAATGCCTGAAGCGGGCCAGGTGGAAAGCACAATAGATTGCAACCAAACATACCACGACAGCCTGGTGGGCCACATGAAGGCCCTACTGGCCCCGGAGATACCAGTTTGCAGCCATTGTCTTAGGGTCTGCCAAGTGGGTGGAGCCTCAGTCCCCAGGCCCAAATCGGTACCCCATCTTTCCTTTCTCCCTTACTCATCACTCCTCCCCACTCATCCCTCTTCCCCTTCTGGTCTCCAACCCCCTTCCCAAAGTTCCTGGCTTGGGAGTCATGATACCAGGTTCCCATACCTGCTGTTTCCTTCTTCTAGGTGTCAGTTTCTTCCTCTGTGGACTGAAGATGGGGCGATCTCTACATGTCCCTCCTGCTCTTCCTCTGATCCCCTCGTCTTCCCTCTCTTCTTCCCTCTCACCACCTATGTTCTCTCTCTCCACTTTCCTCATCGCTTGCTCCTCTCTAACCTTCCCCTTTCTTCTTTCCCCTCTCTTCATGCTCACCTTTCTCCATCTAGGCCCCTTTTTTGTCTCCCCATCTGTCCCTTTCTAGCTCTGAAAGGGGAGATGGCTCCAGTGGCACAGGAGTCCCTGGGATTGGGAAAGGCTGCTGTCAGAGTTCAGGCTCCCCTCCTTCCCTGAAGAACCCCGGCCTGGGCTGGAGTTAGTGAGGAAAGGCACGAACCTCCCAGAGTCTACATTTGTAGGGCTGACAACCACTTACCTTTGTTGTCCCTGTGGGCATTATTCTGGGGGCTTCGAGTGTCCCTGGGAGCCTCAACAGTAGGTAGATCCTCTAACTTCAGAGAGTCCTCTTCTCCTGGTTCAGTCTTCATTCCAGGTGGGTCCTCTTCTCTAGATGGGTCCTCTTCACTGGGCAGGTCATCCTCACCCAGTGGGTCATCTTCCCCAGATGAATCTCCTCCCATTGGGGGAGTCCCCTGCATCCGAGGCAGGCTCTGGGGATGGGCAGGCACCAGGAGCAGCAGTAACAGCAGCAGTTGCACAGCAGGGTCCTGGCTAGGGGCTGGGATCAACAGAGGGAGCCAGGGGCTGGGGCACAGGGGAGCCATGCGGCTGACTATAGGGTGTCCCGGACACGGTGTGTACGGGCTGTACGTGCATCAGCAACAGGAGCTGGGTGGGGGAGGAGCAAGCCTGGAGGGGAGCAGGCTGACTCACAGAATGCCCTTTTGTAGAGATGGAGCCAAAGTTCCACAGGTCTGTCTGGCCCTATCCCCCTCCCTGATACCAAAGCCTGGATGGGGGTGGAGTGAGGGGCAGGTATGTGCAGAGGCAGAAGGTTATCGGGGTCATGGGCTCAGCCTGGAACCCAAGGCACCACCTGGCACTATACAGGCTCTCCCTGGCGCCACCAGGCTGCTCGCCAGCCAGCTCCAGCTAACCCTGGCCTGCTTCCCAGCCCCAGGCAGGGAAAGGGAAAGACAGGGAGCTGGGGCCCCCACATCCCCTGGCTGAGAGGGAAGCATCCCATGTCTACATGCCTAGCCCAGCCAGGGCGCAATAAAGGGGTAGGGCAAACTGGGGGCGCCTGGGTAGGGGAGGATGGATGAGTAGGTGGGAGGCGAATTTGAGCAGGAGTGGAAAACTGAGTATATGTATGACAGGGGCTCTGATGGGTTTAAACTAAATTTATTTTTCATCATATTACACCTCTACTCAAAAACCTTCACTGACTTCCCACTGCCTACCAAAGTATCTTCCATCTGTTCATCTGCTCCCTCTAAACGACCTCCAAGTCCCTTCAAAATCTTACCTAAGAGACCTTTCCATCTTATCTCCTCCTATTCTCCCTCAAACTTCAGCTAAATTAAACTATTCATTTTTTCCCCCAACTTTTGACCACCTTTGTTCCTCTAGGTCTCACTGCCTGGAATGCCATTCACTCCTACAATTAACAAGTGTTTATTTAACACCTACCATATGTCAGGCACAGGGCTATGGACTACGGAAATGAATAAGAAATGAATAAGACACAGTCCCTGTCCAGAGGAGCTCACTGTCTAGTGAGTGATGGCAAACACTATCATAATATTTAGAGGAGAGTGATTAATTCTGCCTCAGAAGGTAATACAGAAATAGGCAGATTTGATCAGGGCCTTGAAAAAGTAGCAGTTCAATTGGCAAAAACAATGAGGAGAATGGTATTCTGGGCAAAGGGGAGGCACCAAATATTTTGAGCAGGAGAATGACAGAATCCAGTTCTCATATTAGGTCATGTTGAGGGCTGGTGTGGAACATGGATTGGAGGCAGAGAGCAGGTGCAAGGAAACGAAGAGGGAGAGGCTCCCAAGAATGGGCTTGGGGTTCCCAGTGGCCTATTCATTTGACAAACGTTTATGGAGCCTGCTCCAATCCTCCAGGAACTTTCCTAGGCCCCAGGGATGCGGGGTTGAACTAGAGAACAGCCTCTACTGTTCTGTAGCTCTCATTCTAGTAAGGCCTCTATGGCTTTGACAAAGCAGGAGAGAGCGAGGCCATCTCAGGAGGTTCATGTCTGGGGCTGACACTCAGTAGGTATGCACCTGTATGGTTATAGAGGCTAATTAGATATATTGAAATATTTCTAATCCTGTTGGTAACTAGCCCCTAGCTTCAGGGTGCTTCTGCTACTGGACTCCTCCCTGGAGACTCCTAACCTCCTCAAGGACCGCACTTGAATGCCAGCTTCCACGCAGATGGATCAGTACTTGTGCGCCCACGTTAAGTACCACGTTAAGTAGTTTTACTATCTCCTCTGTCTAAATCCCATCTGTCATTCAAGACTCAGCTCAAAAGCCACCTCCTACAAGAAATCTTTCTTGACCAACTCTACACCACAGGAGGAGATTTTGGGTGCCTCTGAACCACCACAGTTCTTTGCCTGCCCTTGCTAATAACACTGTCCACCATCTAATTCACAGGAAGCTGATTTATGACATTTTATCTGCTCTATTAACCTTGAGATCCATAAGGGCAGAGTCCAGTATTTGATTGATCGAGTCAGTTTTTTATTCAACAGCCATTATTGAGCATTTTTCTCTCTGCAGATCAACTTGCCAGGGCTTGAGAAAAACCGAATTAACTAAGACGCCTTCCCTGCCCTCAGGGAGCTCGTTGTCAATGATCTATGCGTGTCAAACCACACTTATTCCAGGAGCATGACATCACATTTTTACGGCACCTCAAATTATCTGCCTTATCAGAGGGACTGTCATACTGAATACCAAAACCTGTGCAGCTGAACCACAGCTGTCCTGCAAGTGGCCATCTTAGGAGGTAGTCAGCCTGAAAATCTAGGTTGCCATTTCTGGAGCCAAATTAAGAGCCATCCATGGCAATCTGATCCAGTGTGCGTTCTGGACAGTCAGCTCATTGTCTTGGTCAGCTGAGTTGTCAGCACTGTGCTTGGACCCTGACACGTGGAAGGTACATAGTCATATCAGAATTGGATGGACCTGGACAAGACGGAATGTGGTAACGACTGATCTGGTTGTGGTGGGAGAAGTCACGGGAAGCACAGAGGACAGAAGCACCATGCTAACTGGAGTCGAGTCTGGATGTCTGGAGATCTTTCTCCAACAGCAGTCCCAGCTTTATTTCATTTTCCCTCTTTCCAAATGTTCTGAATGTTTCCACCTCTTTCCTTTTTAGGTCTCTGTCAAGGTCTCCCTGTGTGCTTCTCCGTGGCGCTCTGTATGTCCACCATGCCCTGCCATCTCTGCTGCCTTCTCTCAGTCTTCCGGTCCTCCTCTGCATCTAGCTGCAGGTCTCTCTCTGCTATAGATTCTAATTTTCCAAATGCCATTCTCGTAGACCTGCCTCTTTCTTGAGCTCTCTTTGTGTGTGACTGTGTCTCTGGTCTGGCTGGGGAATGTGGACTCTGATCCTGGATCCTGCCTTCGCAGCTGGGAGTCTGCCAAACCCTAAAACAGGTTTGAGCTCCCTGAGTCTTGTTTCCCGAGTCCTCCCAGGTTGGGACAGAACATACTCAGAACTGACTGACTGGGGCTCCCTCCCACCTGGCACACCACCTCTCTGTGTTGCTTAAGGCCAAGTCTTTTGTCCTTAGGGGGTCTGTTTCTTCAGACACTGAGGGCCGTGTCTCTGCTTATCCTAGGGTTGCAGAGGAGGGAGCTGTTTGTTGGTGGGGTAGGAGGACAAAAAGACCCTTACTCCCCAGCCATGGATCCGAAGCAAAGATGGATCAAAGCCCTTCTGGGGCTGTGAGGCTGACCTGTAGCTCTGGCCCACCTCGCCATCTGTGTCAGTTTCCTAGGGCTGCTGTGACAAGTTACCACAAACTGGTGGCTTAAAACAACAGACGTTTTTAATCCCACAGTTTTGGAGGCTAGAAATCTGAAACCAAGGTGTCGGCAGGACCCTGCTCCTTCTGAGGACCTAGGGCCTCTTCTGGCTTCCGGCGGCTCCAGGCACTCCTTGACTTGGGCCTGCATAACTCCAACTTCACGTGGCCTTCTCCTCTTGTCCCTGTGTCTCTTCACTGGGTATCTCTTATAGGAACACTTGTCACTGGATGTGGGGCCCACCTGCATAATCGAGGATGATCTTATCCCAAAATCCTTAGCTTAATTACATCCACAGAGACGCTTTTTCCAAATAAGTTCACATTCACAGGTTCTAGGGGTTAGGACATGGACACGTCTTTGTGGGGCCACATTTAGCCCCCCTCTGCATGAGCAATTTTGGAACTGAAGTGGATGCACAGGATGAGAAAGGATGGGTTTGTGTTGGAGACCCTCATGCCTCTGCCCCATCCCTCTTCATCCTCTTTGTAGGCAGTTTAATCCACTAGCATGGCTTCTATAAGCTGATGACAGCCCAGTATCTCCAGTGGGACTCTCTCCTCTATGTCAGGTCCATAACCACCTGCCTAACGGACATCCCCAATCGGTGGTGGTATTATTGAGCTGCTGGATTAAGCCAACCCTAGGGCCTACCTACATCTGGACTTTTCAGTTGCATGAGCCAATAAATTTGTTGGTGTTTAACCAATTTTAATTTACTGTTATTTGTGACATAGTCTTACTGATATAAATTCTCTCCATGGTTTGGCCTCTGCCTCTCTCTCCAGTCTCCTTTCTCATCACTCTCTCTCTTGCAATCTCTGCTCTAGTCTTACTGCATTCTAGCAGTTCCTTGAATGCATTGCATGTGTGTGTGCACGTGTGTGCGTGTATTTTGTCTCCAAGCCTTTGTCCGTGCTGTTTGTCTCTTCACCTCTCCCCCACTGCCAGCCCTGCCTCACCAGGTTTTGCACATCCTTCAGGTAACAGTTCCTCCCAGAAGCCTTCCCTAACTCCTAGACAGGGTCTGTCCCTCACTGGTGCATGCGGAGAGCCTATACTTCCCTTGTAACATTTCTCTCATTTTGTGGTGTCTCCTTACCATGTCTGCCAAGCAGGACCATAAGCATCCATAAGGGCAGGGGTCATATTTCTCTTGTCCACCATTTCATCTTCATGCCTAGGACGGGGCACATGAGAGGCATTTGGTTTTTGTGGAATGACTGATGATTGTTGTTGAAGGCATCCCTAGGGATTCTCCAGCACCTAGTGAGTTGAAAGCAGAGGTTGAAGGTCAAGGATAGAGAGGTTGTTGACTGCCCTCTGCTCCTCCACCCCTGACTCCTCCTTCCTTTGGCTTTGTGAGTAGAGTGGACATCTGTTCCAGGTATAGTATGGGGTGTGCCTGACTTGCTCTGTGGGAGACTTGGTCCCAGGGCATCAGTTGTCTCCAACTCTGCTCAGTGTGTTTTCTCAGTTTTGCCCTCTTCTTTCTCCAAAGTTGGATGATTCCCCCATCTGAGTTCACAGTAGGGTCTATTCCCTAGCCCTCTCCCATCCACCCAAAGCACACTCACACACTGGCAGCACACCCAGACACCCCATCACTACTGCCCCCCGGGCGTTGTGCTCTGTTCCCGTCACCCGGGCTCACAGGGATCCCGATTAGCGTGGGATTATCTGTCCCCTCCCACACTTGAGTTCTTGGTGCAGACTGTCCCACAGTCACCTGAGACAGTGTAGCCAGTCCTCCACCTATGTGGCACCACCAATTTGGGACCTGAGTCCAAAGTACAGTCTGCCCCAAACTCTCTCTTTGCTCCATCAAGTGCTTCAAGTTGTTTCTCCCTGATCTGAGTCCAGCATTTCTCCATCCTCAGAATTCTTAGAATGCCAGAGAGCTAGGGGGGACCTCAGAACTCTGACAATACCCTGGTTCTTGGCTCAGGGCCCAGATTCCTAGGAGTCCACAGTTGTAGGAATAGGGTCTAAAATATCTGTCTAACATTTTGGGTTTTAATGGCATTTTTTTCTAACTACAAAGTACTGCACTCATGCTCCAGCAGAAAACTTGAGAAAGGCAGAAAAGTATAAGGGAATTTTAAAAAATCACCCTATTTGTCCCATTTATCCCTTTAACCTCAGTGATCCAGTGCCTGGCACAGATTAGGTACTTAATAGATATTTGTTGAATTATCTTCAATCCCATTACCCAGAGGTAAAAACCACAATTACCTTTTGATTGTTTATCCTTCCAGTCATATATAATATATATAATAGAATAATAATATATATTATACATAAATGGGATCGTACTGTACACACAGCTTTGTAGCCTGCTTTCTTCCCTTGGAATATACTTTGTGTATTTTTTCATATTGATAGCTTTAAAAAATTTTTTTATTTTATTGAAGTCATATTGGCTTATAACATTGTGTAAATTTCAGGTGTACATTATTATATTTCAGTTTCTATATAGGCTGCATTGTGTTCTAGTTTTTATTTGTCACCGTACACATATGCCCCTTTACCACTTTTGCCCACCCCCCACCCCCACCTTCTCTTCTGGCAACCATCAATCTGTTCTTCTTATGTGTTTATCTCCCACATGTGAGTGAAACCATATTGTGTTTGTATTTCTCTGTCTGACTTATTTCGCTCAGCATGATGCCCTCAGGGTCAATCCATGTTGTCACAAATGGCACAATTTTGTCTTTTTTTTATGGCTGAGAAGTATTCCATTGTGTATATATACACCACATCTTCTTTATCCATTCATCAGTTGATGGGCACTTGGGTTGCTTCCACATCTTGGCTATAGTCAATAATGCTGCCATGAGCATAGGAGTACATAAGTTTCTTTGAATTGTTGATTTCAAGTTCTTTGGATAAATACCCAGTAGTGGGATAGCTGGGTCGTACAGTATTTCTATTTTCTAATTTTTTGAAAAATCTCCTTTGATAGCTTCTTTACATTACTTTTAATGCTTTCATCTTATTCTTTCATATAGTTGTACCATAATTTTCCTAGCCAATTCACTACCACTGGACATTTAGTTTTCAGTTGTTATAAACAACATTGTGCTACACATCATTGTGCCACACATGAGTTACATGTATTTTTGTCCATATATCTATTTTTCTGGATGCATTCCTAAAAGTGGAATCATAGGTCATAAGACCAGGCATTTTCTAAGATTTCTCATAAATACTGACAAAATGGCACTGCCGACTTACCCTCTAGAGCTACAGGCAATTTTTTTTTTTGAGGAATTTTTTTCTGACTTCTTCTTCCCATAAGCCCCCCAGTATATAGTTGTATATTCTAATTGTAGGTTCTTCTGGATCTGCTATGTGGGACCTGGCCTCAGCGTGGCCTAATGAGCTCTGTTAGGTCCGCGCCCAGAATCCCAATTGGCAAAATCCTGGGCTGCAGAAGCAGAGCGCGAGAACTTAACCACTGGACCACCTGGCCGCCCCTACTGCAAATTCTTTTGAACACCTAAGTAAGGATTATGTGCTACATTTTATGTTTGACTAAGTAGCAAAGACTAATCAACTCCAAGCTTTTGCCTTTGGACGGAATCACTGCAATTCCGAACCACCACGTTAGTTATTGACACCTGCTGACCAGAAGCTAACTGGGTGTCAGGTTCCGGATCAGTATGAAATAAGAAAATGAGTTAGTAACTTAAAACCCATAAACTTTTGTTCGGGAGCCAAAATATTTCAAACCTTAGGACCCGTGAGGGTTCTTAGCAGTGAAAGCACTGGGAACGACTGAACCCCAGCGTCTGGCACGGGCCCAGGACAGAATATGAGCCGTAACTATTGCCCCTTCCCAATTCTACAGATGGGACACTGAGGCCCTGCCAGTGTCTGCACCCCCCAAGTCTCCTGACTCAAAGTCCAGGCTGCTCCCCCAACTTAGTGCCGCTCAGAGGAGGGCCACTCGCCTGCCCCAAGAGACACTGGCCCGGGGGTCCCCCGAGCGCCTGCAGCGCCGCCCTGGCGGTGGGCGGGGCCGTGTGGGGCAGACCCGCGCGGTCCAGGGGCAGCCGCGCATGCTCCGTCCTGCGCGCAGCCTCCCTGCGCCCGGGGGCGCGCCCCGCTGGCCCTGCGGCCCCGCCCCTGCAGCGGTTGGGATTTGAATCTGCGGCGGGCGGCGGCCGGAACTGTGGCCGTCTCCGCCGGCATGGCGAGCCCTGGCCCCGGCGCTCGGTGTCCGGTGCGAGAGCAGCGCGCCCGTTGGGAGCGGAAACGCGCCCGCACCGCCCGGGAGCTGCTGGAGACCGAGCGGCGCTACCAGGAGCAGCTGGGGCTGGTGGCCACGGTGCGGGGCGGGCACCCAGGGTGTGGCAGGGTCTCTGCGAGGCCGGTGACCCCGGGGGTGGTGGGTCTTGCCCTGTCGGCCTGCGTGGAGGCAGCTGCGCCTTGGCGTCAGCCTCCTGTCCCTGCAGACTATGTTGGGTATTCTCTCCTTCCGCAGTACTTCGTGGGGATTCTCAGAGCCAAGGGCACCCTGCGACCACCAGAGCGCCAAGCCCTGTTTGGGCCCTGGGAGCTCATTTACGGCGCCAGCCAGTGAGTGGAAGGGGCGCGGGGAGAGGGCAGGAGGGAGAGCCCTGGCCTCTGGCAGTGCTCGGAGTCGGAGAGACCCAGGTTCATATTCAGAGTTGGCCAGTCACTTCACCTGTGGGCTTGGGCCAGTGCCTCACCTGCTCCAGGTCTCCATCTGTAAAATGGGGTAATAGCGCTGCCTCCGGGGCAGGGGTAGGAGAGTTTAATGAGGTGGTGCTTGAGTAGCTCTTGGGCTGCTCTTCTGTTGTCCTCACCCACGCAGAGAGCTGCTTCCCTACCTGGAAGGAGGGCACTGGGGACAGGGGCTGCAGGGCTTCTGCCCCCACCTGGAGCTCTACACTCAATATGCTGCTAACGCAGAAAGGTCCTGGACCACCCTGCAGGTAACCCGAAGATGACTTCAAGTCCGGCCCCTCTTTCTCTCTTGTCCCATACGTTTCCTCTTCATCTGGAGACCCAACCTTCATTCACACTGTTCCAGCGTTTATAGAGCCCTCTAGCCCCCAGCTCTGTGCTAAATTCCCTGGAGGGAGACAGGGGTTCTCTCAGGAGCACACAGCCCACTGAGGGCTGGGGAGGTGTACACAGATGAATACAATATAAGGAGTGGCTTCTCTCCCTGCTGCCAACTCTTTCCCCCTCACTCCAGGAGCAACTAAAGAGAAACAGACGTTTCCGGAGGTTCCTTCAGCTTCAGGAAAGCCGCCCTGAGTTTGGGGGCCTTCAGCTCCAGGACCTGCTCCCTCTGCCTCTGCAGAGGCTCCAGCAGTGAGTGAACTCACCCTGAATCAACCCACTTCTGTTTTCCGAGTCTGTATGGCTGCTGCTCTCAGCTTTGTGGGACTCCATGGGGTCTGTCCCAGTGCCTCTCTCTTGGGACAACTTGCTCCTAAAAACCTTTTGCAAGAGTAAATGTGAACACACTGGAGACCCGGGGTCTGCAGACTGTGGGACTCTGCGCTGAAGTGAGGGGGCCTGTCATAGGGCTAGTGACAGGGTATCTGGAAGTTTGTTGAGATGAGAGGCTGGCCTAGCTTAGCATGTCTGTCCCTGGGATGAGTTATGAGCTTATAGTCAGATTGTCTGTAGCATCGTTCTTGGGTTAACTTTCATCTTGGGATCTGGCCTCCCGAAGCACTGTCACTCTGCCCCTGACTCTAGTATGGGATGGAAGAGGGCCATGTGGTGTGAGCCCAGGTTCTGACTCCCAGAAGAAGAGGATACAATTGCCAAAGGCAGATCTTTCCTGGCCTTGCGACTGAAGTATGTGTGGGGTGACCTGTGTGTCAGGCAGAGGAGATTTTGCCCAGCTCTGCTTCCCCTCATACACTTCGAACTGTCTAATTCCAGGTATGAGAATCTTGTTGTCATCTTGGCTGAAAACACAGATCCCAACAGCCCTGACCACCAACAGCTCACACGTATGTTCTTGCTCCTTTGCAACTCAGGCAGGAGGCTGCCTCTCCTGTATCCCTTTCTGGTTCTGACCTCCACCAAGGTCTGGTATGCGTCTATCTTCCATTGACATGTACACAATGTCCCTATTGCCCTGCCTTCTCTTCAAGAAGTTAGACCCTGACCCGGTCCCCTCTGCAGTAGCCTGTCCTTCACCTCCACCAGTCACCCAAAGTCAAAGTTACGCTGGGAGTGGGGTGGGATGTGTTATTCCAGGGGCTGCCCGGCTCATAAGTGAGACTGCCCAGAGAGTTCACACCATTGGTCAGAAACAGAAGAATGACCAGCACCTCCGGCGTGTCCAGGCTCTGCTCAGTGGACGCCAGGCAAAGGGGCTTACTTCAGGTAGTCTGCATACATCCCCCTGAATCCTCATCTGTCCTTTTCTTACCCCTCTTCCTCGACAGAGCCAGCACATAACGTTTCTTTCTGTTTCCGCGGATCATGGTCCTGGATCTGCACGAGAATAACAGTTTGCCCATCCCCCAGGTCGCTGGTTCCTACGCCAGGGCTGGCTGTTGGTCGTGCCTCCCCGTGGGGAGCCTCGGCCCCGCATGTTTTTCCTCTTCTCTGATGTGCTCCTCATGGCCAAGCCTCGATCTCCCTTGCACCTGCTGCAGAGTGGCACCTTTGCCTGCCAGGCCCTCTACCCCATGGCCCAGTGTGAACTCCACAGGGTCTTTGGCCACTCAGGAGGCCCTTGCGGTGGACTTCTCAGTGTAAGTGATAGGCAGGAGCCCTAGGTAAGGTGGCAGAGGCCCAACATATGCCTCAAATGCCTACGCACCTGTTTATCTCCTTGGCCTGGGCCCCTTTCATAGGAACTGAGCAATCTACCTTGAGAGAGGATATCTGGGGTTTGACGTTCAAACTTAGTTCTCACCTCAGCCCTGAATTACCTCCATGGGAACAGCAAGGCCTTCAGGTTTAGCCTGGACCTTTCTGAGCTAGGTACTAAGAGGTGGTCTCTCCCCAGCTGTCCTTTCCCCATGAGAAGCTACTGCTTATGTCCACAGACCAGGAGGAGCTGTTGCGCTGGTACTGCAGTCTGACTTTGGCTGTCAGGTAAGCTCAGGAAGAGTGCTGTGATGAGGCCTACGAGCTGCAGATGAGCAGTTCTGATCCTATCTCATGTCCTACATCTGTCTGGGACCTCCCACCCCCACCCTCTGGGTGATTTTATCTGAATAGAGTGGTCATCCCAGAACCCGAGCTGATCGTCTCCTCTCCACAGCGGCCAGAAGAACTAGAGGAATCTTACAAATTCCAGAATCCGGAATACTTCAGGGATAGGTCAGAATCAGGAGGACAAAGGAATCTTCTTCAGTACTAAACAAAACGCAGGACTCTTCATGGTTTGAGAAGGACCATTTTGTGTTTGCCTGAGAACAAGCCATGCCAGGTCATTTAACCAGCTCTTAAGAATGAGGAAACCAGGGGCTGGCCCCGTGGCCGAGTGGTTGAGTTCGCATGCTCCGCTGCAGGCAGCCCAGTGTTTCATTGACACTGCTCATCAAACCACGGTGAGGCAGCGTCCCACATGCCACAACTAGAAGGACCCACAACGAAGAATATACAACTGTGTACCGGGGGGCTTTGGGGGGAAAAGGGAAAAAATTAAAAAATCTAAAAAAAACAAAAAAAAGAATGAGGAAACCAAGTCTGACCCAACTGAAACTGCCGAACCAGCCCCTCCAACACAGATGAGGGGATTTGGGACTGATAAGGTCGGTGCTGTATCTATGGCGAGTCGTTTATCAAGGATGTGGCTTTGTAAATGTGGCTATTTTTATGTTGTATGCGGTTTCTATAATTTATTTTCCCACTGGATTTTAGTAACGTTTCTTTTGGGAAAGACCTTTCTGTCTCAGCTATACGATATGAGAAAAGGGATTTTTATGCCCTGAAAACTGACATGATGGTGGCCTCAGGAATACAAGGGAAAGAACTGGAGCTCCCTCTATCTTCCTGGCTCTTGCACTGGAAAGCGGCCTCTTTTTGTCCTAATAAGGGAAGCTTTTCAAGAAGGCCCAGTTCTTCTTACGCACCTAGTATGGGTGTGTGTGACCCGCTGGAATGGAAAAAACACACAGGAGCATCCAGTCACAAGAACAGACTTTGTTTTACTGAACCTTCAGCTGTTGCGCTCCTTTCCCAGTGGGGGCCGTGAGTGGGGCCCTTCGCCGCAGCCTTGCTGCATCTTCTCCTTAGGCCCTGCTCCACTTCCCAGGGAGCAGCTCGGTTTCTTATCTCTGTGCTCCAGTTTAGGGGCTCCTCCCAATCCTGACTGTCACCAGCTGCCGCCTCATCCTCCGCTATACATGAGTCCTCAGGAAAGGGGATGCTGGCCTCTGTGAGGGGGAGATAGGCATGTTCCAGTTTCGGCACCTGTCTCTACCTCCTCCAGACTCTCACCTCCCAACCCTTTACCTGGTTCTGGAACCTCCACACCCTTGTGTGGCTTGCTGTCTTGTAGCAACTGCTGGATGGTCTGTAGCTTCATGTTCAGAAGCTCCTGCTGGGCCCCAGCCAGGGTTGTCACTCTGCAGATATATCCACTCAGAGGCTGCCCAATCTATGTCCCCACTTCCCTCACCTACCACAAGTTCCCTTGGCCACAGCGTCATTGCTCTCCTTACCGCTCAAAAAGGGGGTCCAGCTGGGCCATCAGGTTGTTCAGGTGTTGCTCTGTCTGGGCCAGCTGTTGTGTCAGCTGGGCCAGCTGTTGCTCTGGGGGTAAGGGAGGAAAGGAGAGCAATGGTCACTTACCTTCTGAGCCCTAACCCCTGCCCAAGCACCTACTTCTGCAAACCCACCTGACTGCAGCGATTCCTTCTTGCCCGCCTCCTGGAGAACAGCAACCTCATCTTTCTGCTGCTGTGGAAGAAGGAAAGGGCAATACTGCAACAACAAGGTTCTCCATCACCTCGGTCCCCAAAGCCAGTTAGGAGGAGGAGGACAACTTGAGGAAGAGAGAGCTGTCGTGTTTTGTTTTTTTGGTGAGGAAGGTTGGCCCTGAGCTAATATCCATTGCCAATCTTCCTCTTTTTGCTTGAGGAAGATTGTTGCTGAGCTAACATCTGTGCCAATCTTCCTCTGTTTTATGTGGGATGCCGCGACAGCATGGCTTGATGAGCAGTATGTAGGTCCATGCGCTGGATCTGAACCTGCAAACCCTGGGCCACCAAAGCAGAGCATGGGAACTTAACTACCACGCCACCCTGCTGGTCCCTGTTGGCCCCTATCGGATTTTTACCTCAGAGAATCACAATCACGTCTAGTCCAGCTCCTCACCCAGGACATGAAGCAACATGTCAGTATGCCCCCACACATGGTCATTCAGTCTACTGAAACGCCTCCAGGAATGAGCAGCTCTCTCCAGTTTGATAAAGCTCTGGTTATATACAAAGCCAAACATTGTCCTTCATGTATCTTTCCATGGTGCTGATTAGAGCCTTCCAAAAAGACATGAGTCTTTTCACCATGATAGCCCCTCGGGATTTGAAGACAATGGCATACCCCTTGCCCCATTCCCCATGTCTTCTCTGGTTTAATATCACCATCTTCAGTCTGTGCTTATTTGACACGGTTTTCTTTGGTGGTTTTACTGAGCAGGTAGGGCTCTTAAAGCGGTGCCCCAAAGAGAATAAAATTCTCCAGGAGCATTCTGATCAGAAGATAAAGCACAATTATCTTGTTCCTAGCATTGGTTTGGGAAATGGGTTGTCACATTACACAACTGAACGTTATTAGTCAACTAATAAGTTATGTTTCTTTGAGACTGGACTTGGTCCAAGAATAGAATTTATTATCTATCCTTGTTAAATTTCATCATTAAGTTCAGTCCCTCATCCTAGCCTGTCACATCTATTTGGGATCATGATTAGCCATCCCTAATTAGCTATCCCTTCTAGCTTCATGCCATCTCCAAATTGGTTCAGTCCTCTATTTGCCAATGCAAGTAAGTGATAGGGCCAGGGCTGAAGATACAGCCCTGGGAGGCACTTACTTTCCATTTCGACAGTTTCAATCCACCAAAGTGTACTTTCAGTTCACATTTCAGGACTTCCCAAGGAGAACATGAGACTCCTTGGTACGCTGAACTCTAAAAACCCTGTGGCTACAGTAATCAACTGCTCGTGCCAAGGCTGGAATCTCACCAGGAACTGCACTTTTGTAGTGTGGACACTCGCTGGGCTGGCATCCCAGCTCCGCCAGTTACTAGCTCTGGCTGACCTCGAGCAAGTGACTTACTGTCTTCATTGGGTTGTCGGGAGGATTAAATGTGATGGTCACTACTTATTTACAATTTGCCTAGCGCCCTTCCCACCCTAACCTCGCTGGATACTCAAAATAACCATAATGTTGGAAAGCCAAGGAACTACCGTTTTCATTTTACAGACTGACGGAAAGACGTGTCTTGTTCTTGGTACTGTACTGCCCCCATGGGAAGAGTCAGGCCCAGGGCATCCCACCCCCGGGTCGTCCCGCACCTGCAAACACCTGTACAGCACAAAAGCCACGACGGCCGCAGTGTACAGCGCCCCCAAAGGTAGCGCCCCGGCCCGGGCCCGCTCGCGCTGGTCCTTGGGCGGCGGCCGCCGCCGGGATTCCGTAGCCCCAAGGCCGTCGTGGGCGGGGTCCCCTGCGGAGGAGGGTAGAGGACGGTCAGAAGAGCTGGGGCCTGGGACCCGTAGGCGGTCCCAGCCTCCCTCCAGCAGCCCTGGCTGGTACCTGGGTGTGCCCGGAGGTCGGTGCTGGGGCGGTCTCCGAGGACCCCGGGCAGCGCAGACACAAGCAGCAGCCCGAGCACACCCGCTCGCGAGCTCACGCTCGCCATCGCAGACCGACAGAACGAGACACTGGGCGGTGCCAGCGTTGGCCGGGCGCCACAGTGCGCATGCGTACCTGCGCCCCGGAGCGGGTCCGGCGGGAGGCCACGCCCACTTGATGTGTGGGCGGGGCTAGGCGTTCTTTGCATAGGATTGTTAGCCCAGCTTTCCTAAATGAGTTTTTCTTATCTTTTAGGTATTCTATTAGCCAGAAATGCCTTCAGAAGCCTACAATCTTAGAAGATTAGGCCGGAAGGTGGTTTTTATTTCTCACGTCCCCAACCTTTATCACCCTAACCAAAAGATAAATTCTGTTCTGGCCCTATAAAAGGCTAGAGCCACTGCTAGGTCGGCAGTCCGTGCCGAAGGCCTGTTTCCTAGGCTACATACGGGGGACTGGTTCCTGACAAGTGCCTAGGGGAAAGTCCCCGGACCGCGGGCAGAGAGTGCCGCGTGCGCGCGCACGCAGGGCCGCCCGCCCGTCACTGTCTAGGCCGCCGAGACGCGACCCCACGGCGGGGAGCCGAGCGGCGGGCGGCGGGCGGCCGTCCGTCAGCTCCTCCAGTTACGCAGGCAGTGCGCCTTCGCGCGCCAACCACACGGGGCTCATTCTCGGCGCGGCAGCATTTTGAAGGTCGTCTACGCAGGACGTGGGGAGCCTGCACAGCGGCCCAGCTGCGGGGGCCCGTGGGGGGGCCCCGGACGCGGCGGAACCAGTCCCAGCTCTTCGCGTGTCAGTGTTCTGCGGTTCCCTCTGCCTGCGAAGGCCTCCCCTTCCCGCCCCCTCCGTCTGGCAGCCGCCATGCATTATGTAGCGTGGTACACGGTACAACATGGCCTCTGCCCGGGCCAGAATCCTGCCTCCCCCACTCGAGAGCTAAATGACTTTGGGCAAGTGACTTTCTCGCGCTCTGTGCCTCAGTTTCCACTCTGAGGATTGGAGATGATGATAGAATGTATGTCCCTCACAGAGTTATGATGATTAAATGGGATAGCCGAGTAAAGTGCTTAGACCCGTGCCTGGTTATTAGTGATTTTAACTTGAGCAGCTGCTCTGAGCCAAGAGCTTGAAAGGATGCGAACTCTCCCGGAAGGTCCCCTGCCATGCCCTGTCCGCACGGTTAACGTCTACACAACCTTCAGATCTCGTGTGTTCCCTTCGTTCAGAATCCTTACCTCAACTTCTAGCTTATTCATTAGTGCAGCTATTGTACTTGCTTCAAACCACTATTATATATCAATTACATCTCAACAAAGCTGGCGAAAAGCCATTTCAATTAATTAAAAATCAAGTAATCAATTTAAATTGATTATAAAAAGAAAATACCGCTAGTCTGTAAATTCCACGAGATCAAGGGCCGTATCTGTTTTTCTTTATCCTTTTATTCCTATAACCTGGCAGAGCGCTTGGCTCTAGCCGGCTTCTCAATGAATCCTTGGTGAATGAAATTAATGTGTTCAAAACGACCCAACAGGTCAATGTAATTAAGCACTTTTATTTTTTTATTATATTATTTCTTTTGGAAGATTAGCCCTGAGCATTTAACATCTGCTGCCAATCCTCCTCTTTTTTTTTTCCCCGCTGAGGAAGACTGGCCCTGAGCTAACATCCGTGCCCATCTTCCTCTACTCTATACGTGGGAGCCTACTACAGCATGGCTTGTCAAGTGGTGCCATGTCCACACCCAGGATCCAAACAGGCAAACCCCAGGCCACCAAAGCAGACCGTGGGCACTTAACCACTGTGCCACCGGCTGGGCCCCAATTAAAGCACTTTTAAAGGATGAGGAAACTAAGGTTCAGAAAGGTTAAGTAAGTTATTAATCAGGTAAGAGGCTGGGCTGGGAGTCCAACTCTTGTCTGTCTGTCTGCAAGTCACCTTCCTCACATCACTGCCCCTAGCTGTTGCCCTTTTTGGCCTCCACGTCTCCAGGCGGACTTGGTTAGTCTCCTTCTGTTCCACACTGCCTTTTCATTGTCTGGGACACACAGGATTGTCTTCCTAATTAGATCAAGAGCTCTTGGAGGAAAGAAGCCATTTCCCACTCACATTTGCATCTCCAGAGCTTGGCACATAAGCAAGCAATCAGTACACGTGTATTAAATGAATGAGGTACATGTGTGTTAAATCAATGAATGAAATATGGGTGTATCTTCGTCTTTCCAGAAAGGGAGGGGGCAGGGCAGGGAGAGACCGGCACTCAGGATGCTGTCACAGTCCAGCTGACTGCCCAGAGGCAGCCTTGGTTGCAGAGCAGCGCAGTCCAAACCTTGACTCTAAGCCAGTTGGCACAGTCAATGCAATTAAGTGCTTCAGGCCACGTAAAATATGATGCATGGCCCCCAACTGATTGTCGCCTAGAGGGAATTCAGGCCCACTATTGCCAGATCTGCTGATTTTTCCCAAAAAATCCACAAATCAGGATTTCTAAAATTGGAAATCTCTGTTGTTAAGTGTTGACAGGGAATCAGTGGCATACTTCGGTCTTGAGTGGGTCATTTAAAAAAATCCTCCTCTTCTATATGATAAAATTATTTTCGGTAATAATCAGGAAATGAAACAAATAATAAAGGCCAGAAAAGAAGGCAATAATAGGGGCCAGAACTTCAGATCGTGAATTCTTTCTTTTATTGAACTCTGTAGATAAAATCATGACAGTTTAAAAAAATAGTTAAAAGTTGAAAATTAAACACAATGAGATAAGAAGGGAAAAAAGGTAATGGGTTAATACTTCTTAATTACATTATTGTATTTTTTGGGAAAGGGGGCAAAAACTTTATACCTACATATTAATCTGAGTGACGAATACTGTTACAATTTCTTTTTTTGAAGTTAACTTTTGCAAACTTGCCAAAAGTAATCTTTGCATATTTATAGTAATAGAGAATATAGCCAGATTTGTCAATCTCCTCTCATAATTAATCAAAGAATACCTTTAATTAATTTTCATTTCTTAAAGTTCCTTTCACATGAAGCAACAGACATATAAATAGTTAGGAAAAGTCTTAAACATAAGGTTGTTTGGCAAAGATTCATAAAAACTCCATTTCATAATAAATTCCAGAAATTCTCAATATAAATAAAAACTCCAAATGCTCACCTAGAGTGACAGAATTAAAGTAACTCAAGTTCAATTTCTTTGACTTCACAATCATTGTGCTATCATTGCTTATTTTAAATTTTCTGGTTAAATGCAGGCATATGTAACATCATAGGGGTTGGAGACAGAAATTAGCAAAAACTCAATTCCAAACAGGCGCTAATTCTAGACATAAAAACATGTAGATGAATCTGCTTGGGTCAGGGGCCGACTGTCTAAGTGAGAGTTCTCCAAACTAACTCCCACATAGATTACAATGTTTTTTAAAGGATAAGTAACACAAAATCTTAATTTGAAGCCTATATATTATTAAAACTCATCAGTAACCACAGTAATTTAGAACCTCGATCTACAAAAGATTTTTCAGAGAGGAGTATTTTATCACTGACATTTTTTAGAATTGCTGGAGCATGGTGATAATGAAGATGAGACTGATTTTCTGTCCGCTTTTTTACCTTCTCTGCAGACAATACCTTTGACTGCCTGCAGCGGGAAGGGTGGGACCTCTCCTGCCACCCCATCCTTGGCACACCACTCCAGTAATTTAAAAATTTTTTTAAAACACTGTATAGGCCAGACAAAACATATCTCTGCCCTCTGGTCTAAACTTCAAATCCCTCTTCCCACCCCCAGAGCCTCCCACATGGTGGGGCCGTCTCTGGGTGGAGCAGGTGCTCCACTCCCCCAAGTGAACAAGTGCAAAGACAGGGCCGGGTTCCCAGGCTAGGACTGGGGCCGAGGTTTCCTCCATTCAACTAACTTTTTGAGATTGGCTTTCTTAGGGACAGTTTGAATGAAGTGGGTTGGGAGGGGGGAATCTAGCTTCTTCTATCCTCCAAACTATTATACCAGTAATAATAACAATGACAACGGTCATCTCAACACATTCCCCAAGGGTCGGCCTGAGGGTGTGGTGGGACTGCGGGCACCAGCAGCCCTCCCCATCTCACTCCACGTTACAGCATGCCCATGGAGGAATACATTCTCCCTCACAGGACTCGGATAGGCATCTGGTGGCGGAAGGCAATCTCTGTCCTGAGGCCTGGCTTCCTTGTTGGTTGGTCTTGCCTCACGCCCCTTCGGCCCCCCCTTGGAGTCTCCAGGGGCTCACCTGTGCCGGGCACGGTGAACTCAGGCCTGCCTCTCTCTTCTGTGGCCTGAGTGAGAGCGCGGAAGCTTGGGAGCTGCAGGGTGGTGCAGGTGCAGGCACAGGGCGGTGTCTTTGTTCTTTCGCTCATCCCTCCCCTCCCCGGAAACCAGCGACTTTGCCACCACCAGTATTGAGGATGCTGAGCTTTGGGGCCAGGCCCAGGGAGGGGTGGGAGTAAGGGGGGCTGTGGCAGCTGTCAGGCCATAAGCCAGGCTGACCCCTGGGTTCAGGGCAGGGTACTTGTAGACTCGGCTCCTACATCAGCAGTCATGAGCGTAGGTCCCAACGGCACAGCCACAAGTCCGGAGAGTCTGGATCTGCTAGTGCGCGGTGAGCTGGGGCGGGGGGAGGGGGAGGGGGGGCAGGGCAGGGAGAGGGGGTCACGTGGCCCCATGTCCCACCTGCTGGGACCTGGAGGGTTGGGCTGGGCAGTAACATCCCCACCCCCCATCACAGGATTCCCCTCCGTGACCCAGGCCTGGGGATTGTGGGCCCTCTTAGGGGCTGTGACGCTGCTGCTTCTCCTCTCACTGGCTGCAAACTTGTCCCGATGCACTAATGGCCAGACCAGGAGCCATCTGGGACAGGGACGGTGAGTGGGGGACAACAGAGATGGGTTGCTGGAGAGTTCCCCCTTACCAAGAAGTCCTCACTCATCCCCTAAACTCTGTGCTGCAGCTCTGGAGGCTCTGTGGAAGAGGTCCCCCTGTACGGGAACCTGCATTATCTGCAGACAGGTAGGGAGCTGGCAGAGGGGAGAGGCACAGAGGCCAGGTCCTGGGTGGGTGGGATGAGGGGGTGCAGGAGGAGGAACGAGAGGTGACCAGATTCCTGTTCCCTGACCCAGGACAGCTGTCTCGAGAACCAGGGCCAAACCAGCAGGATCCAACACCTGGAGGCCCAGCCAGGGTGAGTCAGTTGTGGCTGAGGAAGAGGAGAGGGAAGCAAGTGGGGGCTTTTGCAAGGGTTCAGTGAACTCCTAACAGCTTTGCATCTCCAGCCTGCAGAGGAGGGGATGTGCTATACCAGCCTGCAGCTGCGGCCTCCTCAGGGACGTACTCCGAGCTCCGGAACCCCCATCAAGTACTCAGCGGTGGTGCTGGACTCTGAGCCAAAGCCCCAGGCCTCGGGCCCGGAGCCGGAGCTCTACGCCTCAGTGTGTGCCCAGACCCGCAGAGCCCGGGCTTCCTTCCCAGACCAGGCCTACGCCAACAGCCAGCCCGCGCCCAGCTGAGCTGGAGGGCCGGCACAGCGGGCGCGCAGCGCCCCAGCCTCCTCTGTTGCAGAGGTTACTGCTACCCTGTCCGGGGCATGACTGTTTCCCAACCACCCCGCATGCCTGGCCGCCACTGCCCAGTCACAGGAGGTGATGTTCCCCGAACTTCCTGTGTGAGCTGTGAGGGAGACATCTCAGGGGAGCCGCAGGCCCCACTTCTTGAGGATGGAGGAAGCAAAGGCAGTGACCGCCCCCCTCCCCGACCTCTGCTTATCTCTATCTATTCCTCTCAGCCCCCAGACTCCCAGGTTCTCACTTCCTCCCCCTTCCGGAGTTCCGCCAGATCCTCCCCGCGCCCGCTCCCTCGCAGTCTACCCCTGATGCCTCAGCGTCTGAGACCGGGGAGTGGGCAGTGGGTGAGGCGTAGGGGCCTGAGAGGCCATGGGTGGGTGTACTCCCCGGGAGCCCGCAGGCTGGAGGGGTCCTGGAACGCGGCCTCCTGAGTTCTGATCTCAGAGCCCCGGCGGGAGAATTTTCTCCACCCTGCTGCCTCTGTCATGGCCCCAAGTTTTCAAATAAAACTTCTCAAAAAGTGTTTAGGTTTTCCCTAGAAGGTCCATCAGGCAACACGCCCCGCATGGTGGAGGTGAGCCTTGCCGTCGGCACAGGGCACTTCTGCGGGTCTAGCTGGGAAGCAGGGCCCGAGGGGCTGCGCGCCAGCACCGCGGGGCCGGGCCGGGCGAGGCCGGGCATCCCCAGCATCCGCGCTGAGCCACCGCTCTCAGCGCCCGGCTCTGCGAGCTCACAGCCCTGCGCGCCCCAGGCCCCCGCACCGCCTGAGGTCTGGGCCCAGAGGGCCTCTGTAGAGGCAGGGCCGGCGTGACAGACCCTTCTGAGGTTTGAGGGGCGGGAAAAAGGGGAAGCCGAGGCTTTTACTTCCAAACTTCTCTTCTTCCCCTTAGAGTCCCAGGGAAACCCACAGAGTAGGGAACCGCGGCCCGCTGGGCCCCGCGAGAATGGTGACCCCCTCCACACACACAATAACCCTAAAGAGCCAGCGTTCCTGGGCCTGAGGACCCCACCCTGGGCCTCCCCAGAAGAGGAGTTCAGGGCTTCAGGGGGGCCGTGTGGGAGGGAGGGCGGCTTCGGGGGCGGGCACCGGATGCGCCGAACCACCGGCAGCAGGATGTGGGGTGCTGAGGGCTGCCGTGCTAAGATGCTCAACGTGTCCGCGGCCTATCGACGGGAGAGCTTGACCCTCGAAGAGGCGGGGGTTGGAGTTTCGCCAACCCACTGGGACCAGCCGGGAATCCAGTCGGAGCCTCAGACGCCCACAGGCCACCTCTCCGTAACCCGCTCCTCCGCGCTACGACGCCCGCCGGCCCAGGACCGAGCCTCGAGCGCCCCCGCCTGGCGCGACGCGGCCTGGCCAGCACCTCTGCGCAGGCGCAATGATGCTCGGCTGCGGCATGCCGGGAGATGTAGTCCCGACGGTCCGGGGCTGCCCCGGGGTCTAGTCCGGAACGCGGCGGACTCGCTCCGTCTGGAGCTGAGTGTGGCTTGAACTTTATTCTCTTTCCAGTCCCGAAGCCTGGATCTTCTGCCTTCTCTCTCCCCTACATCCCTTTAATTGTTCTTACCTTCTTGTCTCTCACCGAGGCTCGTGCCCTGGCCTAGGCGTCATTACTGAACCCTGGGACTGTGGCCACTTCCTAACTGATCTCTGTGTCTAGGAAATAAGTTGGGGCAGTCGGATCCGCCTCAAACACCTTCTGAGAGCCCCCTTGCCACATGTTTCTAGCTGGTCAGCTCGTCTCACCTTACCAAATACTTAGTAGCTCTGTCTCCTTCCAGGTGCTTTCCTTCATGGCCTGTGATGCCAGCTGGAAGGCCATTCCCAGGGGCGGTTCCTTAGGGGAAGCCACCAGGACTCACTGGGGCCCCAGCTTTCCCCCTCTTCCTGAGATCCCAGCTGGGAGGGTAGGGATAAGCCCAAGACCTGAAGAGGAAGGGTCTTTGGGACGGTCAAAGGTTCAATGATAGGAAGTTAGTAAGGAATTACTTTTAGGTGGGGAGGGACCTCAGAAGCCATCCAGCCAAGGCCCCGCCATCATGGGCCTTGCTCTGCACCCTATCAAGATGCTCTAAACTTCCAAGCCGGTTTTGGCCGCAAGGAGGGAAACAGAGATCGAGAAAGACCAAGTCTTAATGACTTCATCTGAAACCTTGGATCCAGCCATGCCCAGAACTAGACCTGCCTCTTGAACTTTTTGGTTGTGTAAGCTGATAAATCCCCTTTTTTGCTTATGTCAGTCTAAGTTAGATTTTCTATCTCTTGCCATCATGAGTTCTGACTAATTCTGTGGGGAAAGACCAGCAGACCGGGGCAGCTGAAGATGCTGAACCTCTGAGATCTCCCCTTATTGCTTAACTCCTCCAGCAGCCACCCTCCTCCGACGTACTTAATGTATTCTCATAACATCTGACCCTAAAATGTTTTCTACTTAGCATGTGAGTTAACCTGGTCTCTAGCCAAGAGTTTAAATTTCTAGAATTATATAGCTGGAAGGAGGCTGACAGATCTGGCCCAAACGTATATCCATTGCAGGAGCCACGCTACAAGCTGCTTCTTAAACACTTCTAGAGACAGGGAGCTCACTACCTCACTAAGCACTCATTTCCAATCTTATTGATAGAACTTTTTTTATTTGGAGCTAAATCCTGCCTCCTTCTTACTTTTGTCACTGATTCTGCCTCCTGAACTACAATTAGCACAATCATTCAGTCTTCTCCCTCCTGTACATGACAGCACTGGAGGAACTGGGAGCCAGCCCTGAAGGATGGCCTGTCTTTCTAAACTTCCTTTTAAAGTTCTCTTTTTTTTTTTTTTTAAGATTTTTATTTTTCCTTTTTCTCCCCAAAGCCCCCTGGTACATAGTTGTGTATTTTTAGTTGCAGGTCCTTCTAGTTGTGGCATGTGGGATGCCACCTCAGCATGGCTTGATGAGCAGTACCATGTCGGCGCCCAGGATCCGAACCAGCGAAACACTGGGCCACTGAAGCAGAGCACGCGACCTTAACCACTCAGCCACGGGGCTGGCCCCTAAAGTTCTTTTAAAGACCATATTTGCAGGCTACTCATCATTCCCATTGCTTTGCTTAATCAGAGTCCCTCTTAGAGTGTGGTGCTAAGGAGTGACTGGCAGCTAAGTTCACTACTGGCAGCGAACAGTAGGGGACCCGTCTGTTTGATTGAGCACAAAGTCTACCAGGGGGCCTTTGTAAGGAGTACACTGACTGAGCCTAGCTTAAGTGAAGGAATGGCTATTGTAAGGACACCTGGGGCAATTAGGAGGCCGAATGGAATGGGGATCCCAGAACAGTGGCTGTGGTATGACTGGGCCTCTGCAGACCATTATTGGATCTCTGATCTCAGCATTGCTGGGACCCTTGGTGACAGGAGTGTGTGGGTCTTCACACTCCTGCTCCTCCAGTCCTGTGATCAGATACTCCCTCTGTCTCTGCTTCTTTTATTTATTCTCAAATTTCTGCTCACTTTGCTAACTTGCTTCCCCATCCTGTATTGCATCTTCTCTGCTTCGTGTTTCTGCTTCCTCACAACAGCTTCATATTTCCTCCTCTGTCTCATGACTTCAGTTAAATGTTTAATTATAGGAGTAGTGTGAGCTCATGGTAAAAAAAAAAAAAAAAAAAAATCAGATAGAATTGCAGGGTATACAACAGTGATTCTCAACCAGAAGTGACTTTGCTCCCCAGGGGACATTTGACAATGTCTGGAGACATTTTAGGTTGTCACAACTGGGGAGGGAGTGCTATTGGTACATAGTGGGTAGAGGGCAGGGATGCTGCTAAACATCCTACAACACACGGTCAGCCAATCACAACAAAGAATTTCTGGCCCCAAAAGTTAAAAGTGCTGAGGTTGAGAAATCCTAGCACAAGGGGAAACAAGTAAAATGCTATCGACCCCCCTCCCCAAGCCCATTCCTACTCCCAGATGGAGTCCCCAGAGGGACCTACTATTAGTGGCTTCTGTTTTTAAGTCTTTGGTGATTATCACTGAATCTGCCGATAATACTTAGACTACTCAGAGTCTGGGGATTCTGGGCATATGGCAACCCTGTGAAGCTCTCCCTTCCACAGCCGCTCTGACAACTCCCAGCGATAGGTGATGAACCTTAACTCTGCTGAGCTCCTGGCAGAGAGAATTCCCTGCAGACAAGCTTCTGGAGAGCAGCCTCAGAGCCAGGAGGAAGGGTCTTCAGGAAGGCAGCGATCCCGGAAACAGTTTGCTGCCCAGGAACAATCAGTGGCTTTGCTGCGTCTGCCAGCGCTCCAAACGCAGACAAACTAGAGGGCAGAGAGACAGGGTGGAGGACACAGATGAATCTCTGACTGAGAAAAAGGAGAGCCTGGAGGAGATACGTGTGAAGCCCAAATAAGAAGATTTCTCTAAACTAGAAAATGTGGTATCAGAACCCAGAATTCCCATCAATAATCAAAGGAAAGGATGGTAACCGCTAAAACCCCCAAACAGGTCTAGAAAATTAAATAGATGAAATATGTCACAACATGTAACAAAAACATGGCGATGCAAATCACGTGGTGAAAGGAGACTTAACTGGACTTTCTGTGAGTTCCTGGGGGAAAAGGAACAGGAGAGGGGAGGTCATAATGAAGTGAAATTTCCCTGAGCTGAAGACAGACAAGTTCCAGACCGGACTGATAGGAAAAGACACACAGTTAACCATCTACAGGTTAGAATTTCTATGTTCTAAGGATACAGGAAATCTTACGCATTTTCAGGGAGACAGATAGTTCTTTCTGAAAGTTAAAAGACAGAAAAGCTGAGTGTGAGTTTATGAAAGAAAAGGCCTGCAACCTGGACCCGGGCAAGCAGGAAAGAAAGATATTTGAAGATTTGAAAAATCGCTAAGTATCTCATCTGAGAAATGCTTGTTAAAAAAGTCTCTAATGAAGCAGATGAATCAGAACAGAGACTTCAAGATAGGGGAAGATGAAGAGAAGAGGAAAGAAAGCAGTGGGGAGCAACGAACCATGATCTATATATTTATATCTATATCTCTCTATATTTATAACATGTAATGTCGATGCTAACTGAGGACTCTTGGAACAGGTGGAACACACTGTAAGGGGAATTCTAATAAGGACTGAATTATCTCAATAAAGCTCTGGAATCAGGTGGTGGGTATAAGGGGAAGGTAAGTGTTCCAGGACCTAAAGGGGGAGGGCAGTGAAAGTAATCTAAAGACCATATCTTATTGGGGTGGGGAGGAAGTAGAAGATAAGTAGAGTATGATGGAAATAGTTGGGGTTTTTCCACACACTAGAAGAGTCATGTGTGTCTACTGGGGAGAGATGCAAGAGATGGTAACTATTGACAGAATGACAAACTCCAAATTATCAAGGGGAAAAATGGGACGAATAGCCATGCAATCAATCCAGCAAAGGTAAAGAAAAGAAGAGTTCACAACAATGTTAAAAAATTTAAAAACAATAACAAGTCAAATACATTTCTCATTACAGTAAATATGAGTGGACTGAATTCTTCCA